TATTTAAATTCAAAACAGAGTGTGCAACTTGTAACAATCCAGAAATAAGACATCTGTTGTTTGTTTGATCTGCATTCTGTGTACAATCTCTATGAGCCTGCATCGTTATTATTGCTTTACCGACACCGCATAATTGAATGCCAGTCACTAAAGTGGACAAACGTAAAACGTGGCGTTCATAGTTTCTTTCTTCTTGAGAAATAATTTTTAGTGATGTATAAAATAATGGATGATTTGTTAATGATAAGCTTCTTAAGGAAGGAGTCCTAAATAATCACAAAAATAATTTTTGTTATAGTAGGACAACACTATTTTCAGTGTTGCACGTATGGGCAGGTCTGAGTAAGTACCACGACCTCACAGAAGACCGGCGTAAAGTAGAAGTGTTACACTTCTGCGTTTCGTCTGGTGAGTGAGTAACCAGGGCCCACTTTATTTAAAGATGTCAACGTATTTTCAACCCTTCAAAGCCCAAAGGCTCTTGTCTAAAAAAGTTATTGTTAAATCTTCATTTAATGTAAGTTTAGTAGTTTTAAGAAACAACGATTTCTTATAAGCACTAAATATGTGTTGTGATAAATTTTGAATATAATTAGCATAATAAAAGAAGCAGCCGGTACCTGCAATATTTCAATATAATTCAAATACAAACATAGTGACTGAACTGAACAAATAAGCCGCATAGTCTAAAACAGAAGTCAAAGTGGAAGGCATCACAAAGCTTAGCCGGATTAATATTGCCTAAATATAGTTGAACCGCAAAGTCAGAAACAAAGCCCCTTTCCAACAACGTCATGTACTGTTCGCGCCAAACTTATTACTGACTTAAGACAATTGTTGGTACTCGTACATTGGCTCCACGGATTAGATAAAGTGTGAGCTTCATTAGGCAAAATTAATTATAAAATTTATTTGATCATTTAATCATATTACCATTAAGTTAAGGCATCTCTCTTAAAACAAGTTATTTCGTATAGTGTTTAATGATTGGCGAATATTTTCGCCTTTTACTGTGTTTTTATTATCACATTTTGTTGCTTGGTCATCATGCTATCGAGACATCCTGATTTGTTTTAGACCATTCTTTATTACTGAACCTAAATACGAATAATTTTTCGTATGTAAAAATTTGATAAATTATAGAAAAACTTTGCTGCTGCCTTGTGCTGTAACATTGAATTCTCTAACAGAGTCAGACATAGGTAAAAGGCGTGGTTGAATGGATTATTCTATAACAAAAAATAAGTATGGATCATATTATGCATAAAGTTTCTGAATTCTTCGGTTTGTAAAGAATGTGTTTCAAACACAGGTTAACATTTACTTAATGAGACTATGTTTACGGATTTATCGCGTTTAGTTTTAATTTTAATTCCCGACGTTTCGAACTCTTTACTGCGTTCTTGGTCACGGAACAGACCGTGATAAATCCGTAAACATAGTTTCATTTAGTAATGTGTTAACGCGTAAATACAAGAAATTACTAGGTTAACATTTTCTATACTGCGAAAACAAAGTTATCTCACGATACAATGAAAGCAGCCCTTATCCTTTTCTCCGCACTGACGATCTCACTGGGACTCGCTTATCCCATCCCCGGCAATTCGTCGTAGACTCCTCGAAGTAAATTAATCATTCGCACCGTTAATTTCGGATGCAATTTGATGTCACACGCTTTGTCTCATTTGAACGCGAATGTTCGCTGAAATCAATTAAAGCGGCGCTTTGGACTATTCGACCTACGAAGCTTCAGAGAGTTGTTAATATTTTATACGAAGAAGAGGGAGGGGTACGAGATTTATTTACTTTTTTTTATGTAAGAAAATTTGCTTGTTTATGTCCATGCGGTATATGATAAGGTCATCAATACAATACGTGTTTATATAAAACCTACAACTGATTTAAATATTACATTTCTATATAACATTCAGGCCTACGAGTATTATTACCCAAAAGGTTTGCCAACTCATAAAGATTTCCATATTCCTCTTTTCTAAAAATATTTCTGTAATCGTGGGATGGAGTTTTGTTTGGCTTAGATTTTGGACTACATTAAGTTTTACTTTAATTATAAATAATCTATAAGACCGTCTCACCGGTGGGAAGTACCACCTCATTGCATGTATGTAACTGAACACCTAAACGGCTGGACCGATTTAGATGAAATTTTAGATTCAGATTCAACAATTCGATCCACTACAAGTCACATTTAAACCAAACGTACATGAGTCACATAAAGTTCGTTCGAAAAGATTTTCCTTCAAATTATATTCAAAAGTGACGAAGCGCTATAAAACATGAATAAAGCGAATTGGTGAAGTTTGGTGTTATTTCACATTTTATCATCAAAGCGTCAGGATATGAAACGGAAGTTGTATGATAATTAATACTCGCGCTAACACGCGCACTAGAAACTTAACATAAAAATGAACATGACGAATTAAAAAGTCGAGAAAACAGCACTAAATTACACGTTATCTAACAAACCTAGCCAGTGGCGGATTTACAAATATGCCGCCAATAGGCTGTTCAGTTTTTGCCGCCCCTACTAATTCTTGATGAAATTCGATACCCTAGTTCGCAATCATATTAATTAAATTTATTCTGTCAATAAAAATGCTACTTTACAATTTGTGCTCTATCGTCTTCAATACGTCAGTTTTTTTAGGGTTCCGCAGGGTAAAACGGAACCCTATTACTAAGACTCTGTTGGTCTGTCCATCTGTCACCAGGCTGTATCTCAAGAACCGTGATAGTTAGACTTGTGAAATTTTCACAAATGATGTTTTTCTGTTGCCGCAATAGCAACAAATACTAAAAAAAAAGAATAAATATATATTTAATTAGGGCTCCGATACAACAGACATGACTTTTTTTGCCGTTTTTATAGATAACGCTACGGAGAACCCCTCATGTGTGAGTCCGATTCGCACATGGCCTCTTCTTGTTATAAGAATGATTTTGGACCCTAGTTGGGTTTCATTGTGTCAGTTTCTAGATTTCTTTGTAACCCACTATTTTGTGAAGATTGCACGAAAAATAGTTTTAGGTATATTTCCGAGATGAAAAAAGTCAATCATGTTCTAATTATAAAACGGGTAAAGGTATGCCTTAAAAATGCTGTAATTTTAATATATACTGATTACTATAAAAAAAGTTTCTGTAAGACAAACATTTTGGGCCAAATTTGCCGCCCCCTAAAATCTGCCGCCCTAGGCTGTAGCCTACTCAGCCTAGCCAAAGCAGCATGATGCTAAAAACGCTAAGTGAATTCTCTCGCTGTAGAGTAATAGTTAAAGATTATAAAAAACTATTCAAATATATTTTTTATCGTATTGTTTTGAAAAGCTGTAAAAAAATTATAAATTTTATTTAATAACATTTATTATAATACGCTAAATAAGTACTAATCTTGCACCAGAAGCTTCATCCCTCCACACAATCTCGATGTCCAGCGTTCCACAACAGTGCAACTTTCAAGGCATTTCCTGCCTCGAACAACCACTCTGTCGAACCAGCTGCCGCCAGTGGTATTTCCGAACCGTTACGACCTTCAAGAAGAGAGCATACTCTTTCCTAAAAGGCCGGCGACGCATTTGTAAGCCCTCGGGTGTTGCAATGTTCATGGGCGGTCGTAATCGCTTACAATTGGATGACCCGCCTGCTCGTTTGACCCCTTTTTTACATTAAAAAATATGGCAATAAGGTTTATTAGATCTAGTGCTTATGCATTAGAAAATATTTATTTAATTTACCTCTAAAGTTATTTTTTCACTGTAGTTTTTCTAAACTAACTTTACTGTCAATTTAGAATAAATCAACTTTAAATTTAGAATTAGATTTTTTTTCCAAATTTAACGAACTCAAAAGGCTATTTATTACCTGCATATTAATTTTTTACTCAGCTGCATAATAATTATTCCTAATTCGCCCATACATAATTTTCTTTTTGTTTGTCAAATAGTTTCGCCAAACATTCTCGTTTCTTGCGAATACGAATATCGAATATTCGTTACGAGGTGTGTATAAAAAAAATAGAGCAATAGTTAGTTTTTTTTTTGTTTCATTATAATTGATTTTTGTTACAGACCACCTTATTGAAGCCCTCTTAGAAACCATCAGTAGTGTATCAAGAATTTGTGTATAATTGTGAATCAGAAATTAAAACATAATAAGAAAATATGTTTTATCCTTAAAAAACAATATAGTTAAGAGGCGTTGAGATTTTCTTCGGCGTGGCAATCAGCCGTTTAGCTTAGTGGTTAAAACGTCTGGGCGCGATTTCGAAAGACGCGGGTTGTTGTTCATGCAATAGGCAACACCTCTCGTCCAAATATTCATTGTAAAATATCAAGTGAGAGTTCGCCATATTGTAAAGTTGCTCACTAGATGGCGCCAAGCGTTGCTTAAAAATAACCAAATTAAATTAGACAGTTGATAGATTTTCGCGCCATTAAACTCGGCCGCATAGGTCAGTTGGCTGGAGCGTAAGACGCAGGTTCGAATACCGGAACGTCGTAAATGTAAAACAAAATATGCAGTTTGTCAGCAATGCTTAAATAAGGTCAGCACTGCCTATTCAATTTAACCTCTTCTAGAAGTGTTACATGTTTATAGTCAAATCACAACCTCTTTCAATTTGTTTTTTTTTTTGTTTTTCTTGTATAAACCAATTTTTAACAGAGTTCATTGTAGGGGAGAAATTAAGAAATAGAAAACGGATTACCAGTTTATGTGTATTTTTTGTATACTAATAGATATTTTATTACAGTTTACAATTTTTTTTCAATTTAAACGTAAGGTCTAAATATTTTTATATAAAGTTAAATTATTATAATTTTTACATATGTGCATATGCTAGTAACTTACATTGAAACAAAATACAATTGACAAGTGATTACCACTCGCGTGCTACTTCTATGTACATATATTGAATCGCTGTTCCTATGACAATTATATACTTTTGAAAAATAAATAACACCTATAAACTACATTCTCTATCCCATTGCGAGGACATTTTCACATCTGGAGCAAACGTCGCGCCCTTCGACGGCGTTGTATTTCCTGCATCTCAAGCACTGGCCCCTCTCACTCTTGTTCAGCTGCAGCTCCCACCTGGCGCCACCGCCGATCTCCTTCACCTCCACTGAGGAGAGTTCCAACACCTCGCAGAGCACGCTGTCCGTCTCGCCGTCCGTCTGTCCCAAGCCCGCCAGCCGCGAGTGCTGTTCCGGGTTCAGTCCCAGACGCAGTTCGCACCTGCGCAGCTTCTCGCCCCCGCTCATAACGCAGACCTGCCTCTTTATCTCGAGGAGGTCCACCATCAGCGACGGGTCGACTTCCTCCGCCGGCAGCATCGGTACATCCCTCGTGAAGAAGAAGGGGGCGGAGTAGAGTGGGTGGTGGCTCCACGCCTCCTCGACCAGATGCGGCAAAACGGGCGCTGTCGCCTTGAGGATAGCGACCAGAATCGTGTGCGCGGCGAGCTGGGCGGAGATCCTCTGGGCGGAGCTTTTGGGCGAACAGTAGAGACGGTCCTTGACGCAGTGGCAGTAGAGGGCGGAGACCTTGTTGCTGACGAAGAACAGAACAGACTGGGCGGCGTGGTTGTAGCGGAAACTGTCGTAGTGCTCGTTCACCTTGGATAAAATAAATGTTTTAAGACACATGTTTACGCTACGTTCTCTAGTCCCAAACTAAGCGACACTTGTACTATGCTTATTGGATAACTAATAAACACACTATTCTTTAATAAATAAATACATATTTAAATACCCATACACTTGCAAAACACTATGTTGTGAAGGAAACGGTTTCATTTAGTCCATTAGAAAATTTGCAGTGCTGTGTACTTCTTTAACAACTATTTATATAATGTATACTTAGATGGCAAATAAATGATTGATAGATTGATTGACTTCAAATCAACTGAATGACTTTAATACGTTGACATTAGTAGCTTCAATGGAAAAGAAGATTTCGTTTAAGCCACTTCTAATTAACCGAATTGACTTTAGAATTTTTTGTATTTACGCGATTAGACATTATTGAATGTAACAATTTTTTCGGATTTATCGCGTTTATTTTTTTAATGTTTATTTGTTTATTGTTTTAACTATGACATTCAGACGTCCAACGCCTCAGTCTGTCCCGTGACCGTGAACGCTGTAAAGGGTTAGAAACGTCGGTAAATAAAATTCAAAAATAAACGCATTAAATCATTAAATATAGTTTATTTTGATAATTGACTTCATTATGTTGACATTGCTCGCAACTTCGAAGGAAAAGAAATTTAATTTAAGGAACTCTAATCGACCGAATGTCTAAATTACGCTGACATAATGTGCACCTTCGGAGGAAGTAGACTTCCATCCAAGAAACTACTAATATGACTATTGGACGGTAAACTATTTAGTAAAGCTTCTTAGTTAGTACAGCGTCTTTAGCTTAACTAGGCTTACTTAGTAAAGCGTCTTTAGCTTAACTAAGCTTAGTTAGTTAAGCGTATGGGCGCGAAACCAGAAAACGCGGGTTCGAATCCGAGAGTTTTTGTACGTTTGTCTAAGAAAATTCACGACTTAAAGTTTCATCTCGACTAGCACTAAAAATGGATACCAATACCATTACTTACTCTGTCATTTTATTGAACAGTAAATACAGAGCATAATACGGAGCTAGACCTGGCCGCCCAAGGAAGCGATGGCTGGACGTTGTGAAGCAGGACATGAGAGCCAATGGACTGACCCATGGGGGATGTCGAAGATCGGGCAAAGTGGAGGAGATTAAGTGGGAAAGCAGACCCTGGCAATTGCTGGGATAAATGCCAGGCAGAAGAGGTTGTGCAGAGCGCTTGATACCTGTCGCAGGAAACCGTGCGCCTCGTTTACAATGAAGCGGTCGAAGTAGTTGGAAGGGGGTTTCTGGTCGAACGCTGCGGGCTCCAGATCGCTGATGACGCCCAGCAGGTACCTGATGATGGAGCGCACCCTGGACACCTCCGCCTGGCAATCGGCCAGCAGTTGGTGGCTGATCACCACCTGGGAGTGCTGCGTCGAGTGGCTGGCCACCCACCATCTGGGGGCACGCGATATTCATAGCGGCACTGGCTTTCGTTTATGACGTATTTATTTTATTTTATTTTTATTCATTCATTAAGGCTTACCAACTACATACATACAGAACATTGAAATGTAAATATGTTTAACTTAATACTAAAGTCGTAAACAATATATGTACATATTTAAATTACAGGTAAACACAACACTTACAAAACAAACTTGAAATATAGAACAGGAACCTAACTAAAAAAAAATAAAATCTTTTATCTCTGAGAAAAAAAAAACGAAATTAGGAAAATTGGGAAATTATAAATTTGAACTTAGCAATACTTAGGTTAACTTATTATAAAATTATTTGAAATGTGTATATATTTTTTTCTTAAATATGTGCAGTTTTTCAGAATTTATTTATTTATTTATTTATTTATTTATTTATTCTTAGAAATTTAAATTGTTTATAGTGCTAATCTTTGCACTTAAGTATTCTTTATTGCAATCATTTACTTATTTATTCTTTATTGCAATCACCTGAAGCAAGGATAACAAAGGGCGAACTCAATGCCGTTTGGCATTCTCTCCCAGGCAACCCGGGGCGTGGTGAGAACTCGTGGTACGTGCAATTATTACATTAATTGTTCACGTTCTCAGCGGTGAAGGAAAACATCGTGAGGAAACCTGCATGTTTTCGAAATAATAACAGAAAATTTTTTGAAGTCCGCCAATGCGCAGCGCAGTGGAGCCATTATAACGTCTGTACAGAAAAACAAATGAGAGAATAATCAATTAATAAACTTATCCCTTAAGGGTCGTGTTAGCTCAATGTCCGGGCGTTCGCTCTTAATAATTCAATAAATGCGAGTTCGAAATTGTTAATTTTAAGTGCTGACTTATCACGTGCTAAGCGGTGAAGGAAAACATCGTGGGGAAACCTGCATATTTTCGAAATAACAACGAAAAAACAATTTCGAAGATACGTGAAGTCCGCCAATCCGCAGTGGGGATGCATAGTGGACTATGCCCTGATACCCTCTGTGCAGAGGAGGCCTTTGCCCAGCAGTGGGACATGTATCACTCGTACCTCAAAGCGTCCACTCCGTACCCGGGCCGCTTCCCATCGCCGCTGATCACGTCCTGAGGGTCCACAACGTTCCCAACGGACTTGGACATCTTCCGCCTCCTCTCGTCCACCACGAAGCCGTGGACGAACAGCGAACTGTGGGAAAAAATATTTTTTTTCACCGCCACGTGGACATCTACAGCGTGCGAGGCGTGGAGATGCGCAGTCAATCTTTAAAGTAAATAGGTGTATCAATTTGATTTCAAAGTCAGAGCGTGGCCGTCAAAGGATGACTCAATTAAGCCTTCAACTAATTGAGTGGTTCACCTGATGTTTAGTGATTACCAATGGACATCACAACTCACTACTCACATCTAGCCGATACATAGTTTAATTCCTCCCCTTTCCATAATTAGATAACTCCCCCTAATCAAATAACTACCCCTAGTCATATAACTAACTGCGCCTAATCAATTAACTCCCCCTAATCAGATAGTCTCTAATCAAATACCTCCTCCTAGTGAGATAACTACCCCTAATCAAATAACTCCTCCTAGTCAGATAATTGCCCCTAACCAAATACCTCCCCCTAATCAGATAATAACCAGCGTCAGTTCTCCCGTCTATTATAGTGGCTAAAAGAGAAGTGGCCACGATAGTTTTTAAACAACGGATGGTTTTAAAGTTTTTTATAGTGCTAATCTCTGTACTTAAGATTGAACATTAAAACAATAAGAAAAAGTACGAAAAGATTGTCGCCGCTGTGGGAATCGAACCCACGTCTTCGGTATTCGCGGCCTAAATTTATAAAAAGCAATGGCGACATCTCTCGTTCGAATTATCGTTGTAAAACGATATTCGAAATTGTTTGTATGCTGGAAAGGATATAACAATAGATGCGCCAAGCATTGCTTCAAATGCTAAATAACAGTGTAGAAAAAGGCGTTAAGATTTTCATCGCTGTGGCTATCAGCCGTTTAGCTCAGTGGCTAGAGCGTCAGGCCGTGAATGACGAAGACGTGGGTTCGATTCCCACAGCGGCGACAATCGTTTCGTACTTTTTCTACATGTTTTAACGGATGGTTTGTAAACTTTTTAAAAAAAAAAAAAAACCCGATGGTAATACATCTGCGGTGCGTTGCCAGCCTTTAAGATAGGCCCACTATCATAAAGTACCGACATGATACGCTCATACTCATATAATTTTCCAGTCTTCTGCGATGCTTTAGTATTCCCATCAAGCAGTAGGTGCTTTATTGGTCATCCAAAACAAATTGTACCTTGACTAATCTCAAACAATGACCCATGGACGAATAACATAATCCTATGTTAACGTTAGGGCCAAGCCCCCTCGCTAGATGGAGAGACGATCTGTGCAAATGTTAGTCAAATCGATGGATACAGGCGGCTCAGGAAAGTGCCATAGACAATCTGTGGCGGGGGGTGCGGTCTACGGCCAGCGGTGGGGCTAAAACGGGATGAAACGACGTCGATTATGATGTTGGTGTTGTGCTGTTGGTGCGTTTCACTCACTCGTAGGGGGCTTCGCCCGTGAGGGCCAAGGAGGTGAGCAGCGAGGTCTGGAACCAGCCGGTGAGCTGGTCCACACCCTCGCAGTAGACGCGCGCCTTTTTCCCGCCGAGGACCTGCCACGAGAGGCCGGAGTCGAGCCATATGTCCATGACGTCCTAGATGGAAAGCAGAATTTGCTTACGCGGCTGCGACCAAAACAGGGGCCTATTACTAAGTAAGACTCCGCTGACTGTCTGTCTGTCTTGTCTACACCATCCGTATAGTGGTTCTATCTTTATAAACAAATGTGAATTCTTTAATTTGTTAACAACATCAAAAACGATGAAGACTTGTCATGTTTTGTCAATTCAGTTTTATTTCATTTTCAATCAAGAATCGAGAAACTTACTGACTTGACAAAAACCTTTGAATATGATAAAATATTAATTATGTCCCAAACTTTTCAACGTTGAGACATACTTCTCAACGGAGTAATATAAGAATTAATATATGACGAATGATTACTTACATTTCCTTTCGTTAGAGTTTCAGGGTCTAAAGCATGTTTCTTCGCTACTTCGTCCGGTATCAAGTTCGAGACATCGCAACTCCACCAGATGTCAGTATCGTGTTCCTCTATCAGGCTGCAGAGCCTTTCTATGACAGCCCTAAAAAGGAATATAATCGTAATTTGTTAAGCGCCACGTTCACTCGTCCGTGATGACGTCATCGCCCCTGTTTAGATTAGCACGTGAATAAAGGAAAGGGCTTACTCGTCGGTGATGAAGTTATCGTGTCTATTTAGATTGGGCACGTCAATAAATGAAGACTAAGTCATCTTAAATGACGTCATCGCCTCTATTTAGATTAGCATGTTAATAAATGAAAGAGCTTACTCCTCTGTGATGTCACTATCGCCTCTATTTAGATTGGCACGAGAAGAAATGAAAGGGCTCCCTCGTCCGTGGTGACGTCATCGCCCCTATTTAGATTATCACATGAATAAATGAAGGGGCTCACTCGTCCGTGATGGAGTCATCGCCCCTATTTAGATTAGCACGTGAGTAATTAATGAAATAGGCCCAATCGTCCGTGATGACGTCATCGCCCTTATTTAGATTATCACATGAATAAATGAAGGGGCTCACTCGTCCGTGATGGAGTCATCGCCCCTATTTAGATTAGCACGTGAGTAATGAAATAGGCCCACTCGTCCGTGATGACGTCATCGCCCCTATTTAGATTAGCAGGTAAATAAACGAAAGCGCTCACTCGTCCGCGATGACGTCATCGCCCCTAAACAGAACCGGTATGGGCACGCCCCAGGCGCGCTGCCTCGAGATGCACCAGTAGGGCCGCTTCTCCAGCTGCGACCTGAAGCCCTGACGAGACTGGTCCGCGCTGGCCGGCGGCAGCAACGCCACTTTATCTAGAGCTGCCTAGTGACCAAAACGTCTGATTAATAGCTAACATAACATTTGAGAGTTAACCCTTCTTATACAGGGAGGCTTTCCTAAGTGTATCCATTTTTTTTTAATTAAATTCTAGACATAAATAATGTTATAAAAAAATTATAAATATTTAAAATCACTCGTAATTAATGATTTACCCTCTTTTTAACCTATCTCAAAAAGCGCGATCATTCATAATTAACAGGCACACAAGTTCGTTTCAAAAGTATACGACGCATTTATGAATGAGAACAGCATTGTCAACAAGTTCTGTTTTTAGAGAATAGAATGGCAATTTATTGAAAAAAAAAACTGTTTGTTTTTATTTCAATAAACGATTTCCTGCTGCGCCACTACCACAGCTTAGGGATAAGTTAACGTTTTCACGGTGGTAGGGCCACGCAGCAGCCTCGGCTGTTGCACGAATGGGCAGGCCCATCCGGGTAAGTACCACGACCTCACAGAAGACCAGCGTAAAGTGGAAGTATGACAAATAATTTCGCGTTTCGTCTGGTGAGTGAGGTAGCCGGAGCCCAATTTTCAAAAGGTTGTCAACGCATCTGTTAACCTCGAGTGTGGCAGATGTCCATGGGCGTCGGTATTCACTTAACATCAGGTGAACCGTCTGCTCGTTTGACAACTTTTGGCATAAAAAAAATAAAAAAAAAAAACGTTGCGCAAAAAAAATGTCCCGAAACATCTATTCATTACATTAGAAAACACTTTTACAGAACTAGTTCGAACAGTTCGCCTAATAGAGCGCTTCCCACCTAGTTAGCTCACTCCCCCAACACAATTTCAAAGGACCCTTCGTAGATCAATCACTCACCAGAGCCCTCTCCATCAAAGCGGCCGTGTCTACGAACCACTGCTGACTCGCCCTCACTATCACCGGCTTCTTAGTTCTCCAGTCGAGAGGGTACGAGTGGACGAACACCCCACGATGGATGATGGAGCCCCCTAGGGCTGCGATGACGGCCTCCTGCCCCTCCCCGAATACGGATAGGCCGTCGAAGCCCCCGCCAAGGTTGAAATATCGCCCCGCCTCGTCGACGTTGCACACCTGGTAAACGATGTTGAAAGGATTGTTTCTTTAAAATTTGCAAAAACGAACGAAAAGATCGTCGCCGCTGCGGGAATCGAGCCGTCTTCGGCATTCGCGGCCTGACGCTCTAGCCACTAAGCTAAACGGCTTTTATCTACATTGTTTTTTTTTTTAAGCATTTGAAGCAATGCTTGGCGCATCTATTGTTATATCCTTTCCGGCATACAAACAATTTCGAAAATCGTTTTACAATGATAATTCGAACGAGAGAGGATTATTTCTTTTACTAGTGTTCCGTACCCAAAGGGTAAAACGGGACCCTATTACTGAGACTCCGCTGTCTGTCTGTCTGTCTGTCCGTCTGTCGCCAAGCTGTATTTCGAAAACCATAATAGGTAGATATTTTAAATTTTCACGGATGATTTATTTCTGTTGCGGCTAAAATAACAAGAACTAAAATCAGAATAATAAAATATTTTATCGGGGCTCCCATACAACAGACATCATTTATTGTCTTTTTTATAGACAATGGCAGGGATAATTTTATAGACAATGGACCTTCGTGCGCGAGCCCGAATTGCACTTGGCCGGTTTTTTATTTATTTATTGGGGCTTAGGGACTAAATACATACAGAACATTGACATACAAATACGTTTAACTTAATCATAAAGTTGTAAAAATATATTATGTGCACATATAAATTACAAATAAACTCACACTATAAAACAATTTTGAACTAGAGAACAGAAACTTACTTAACTAGATAATTATTTCTTATGTGAGAAAAAAAATTCGAAAAGTATTGGTTGTTGGTTGTAGTATAAAAAAGTTGGTGGTATAAATTTAAAAAGTAACAAAGATGGTAAAAAGCAAAAAGTACCTGGCAAATGATCAATAATACTGGATTGGGAGGATTTAAAAGGAAAGTTTCGAGATGACGTGTTCTGTACATTTACGAAAACTAGCCGATATCCGCGACTTCGTCTGCGTCGCTTATCATTACAACAACTAAACCGCTTGCCCAGTGCAAAAATACAAACATCAGAAAACGAATTTCTAAAATTGCTTCATAAATGACGGAGTACCGAGGTAACAAACATTAAAAAAATACTGCCGAATTGAGAACGAATGTTAGCTATCGAACGGTACATTGGTGAATAAAGGAAGGACGGAATGTAAGGGAGAAAGAAAGAAATGTTTATATTATTATATGAAAACATTTCTTGAATTAACAAAATAACAATAAAAACTTATTAATCGATTCCCCAACAAGCCATTTTTTTTTATGCAAAAAGTTTCTCAAACGGGCAGACGGTTCACCTGATGTTAAGTGAATACCGCCGCCCACGGACATCTGCCACACCCGAGGGATACAAATGCGTTGACAACCTTTTGAAAATTGGGCTCCGGCTACCTCACTCACCAGACGAAACGCGAAAGTATTTGTCATACTTCCACTTTACGCTGGCCTTCTGTGAGGTCGTGGTACTTACCCGGACGGGCCTGCCCATTCGTGCAACATCCGAAGCTGCTACGTGGCCCTACCACCGTATCGTGGCCCTACCACCGCCATTTTTTTATTAACGAAAAACAAAACCGACTCCAAATATCCCTCCCTTCATTTGATTTTCGACATTTTCATACGTATCTCCGGAGCCCAAGATCCAATAACAATGAAAATAATATGGGACCACGTGGGAGCCACCAGCTTTCAAATAAAAAAAAATCATCAAAACCGTTTCACTCAGTCGAATGTTCTGATGTAACAAAAAAAAATCAGTCGAATTGACATCCTCCTCCGTTTCTGAAGTCGGTTGAAAAGATCACACTCGGCATTCACATCACGAAAAAATTCCGCGATCACTAGTTTACAGTGGAATCTGGAGAGGTCGATAGATTACTAAGTTGACAGTGGTAAAATAAAACTTCACTCATAATTACCACTGACATGTCGTTCTTCAAGGCCACAAGGAAATCGTCGTGTCCGTGGGCCGGCGCCGTGTGGACCAATCCGGTGCCTTTGCCTTCCGTAACATGGCCCGCTTCCAAAAACGGGAAGCTACCAGAACTGAATCCGCTGCGGTAGGTCGTTCCGTGGAGTTCGCTGCCTGAAATGTGCCCGGATTCGGTTTCGCAACATTCTGTACCAGGGGCCAGTTTAGCATACCAATGAGGCCAGCTTAGCATACCAACGAGGACAGTTTAGCATACCAACGAGGCCAAGTTAGCATACCAACGAGGCCAAGTTAGCATACCAATGAGGCCAGTACAGCATACCTACGAGGCTAGTTTCGCATACCAACTAGGAAAGTTTAAAATACCAACTAGGCCAGTTTAGCATACCAACGAGGTCGGTTTAGCATTCAAAAGAGGCTAGAATCGTCTCGTATAATCAAAGACGTTACGGTCACTAGTACTGAAAATATGAGCCGAAAAAAACGCAAGGCAAATAAAGAGATAAGAGGATAAAAATCTAAAGCTTCTTCAGTTTTTAACCTCTCTCTCAAAGTGTGGTTAATGACATTCTGATAATTCTTATATCAATTGTGATTCTAAAATCAAAATAAATGTAAAGATTTACTCATTATATATACAAAGTATAATATTTTTGGGTGTTGCTATAACATTTATTACTTAAATTTTAATTGACTCACCATCAAACTCGAACAGTTTAGAAATCTCTACTCCCAGTGTCTTTTCTAAGTAATCAATTTGTGCACTGGCTACCAGGAATATTTCACCAGGCTTGGTACTTAAAGTAACTAAACAATATTTCATAGTTGAACTATAGCAGATTGCACGATTGGCAATTAGAGTCCACGGTGTGGTAGTCCAGATTAATGCCGAAATATCTTTACTGAAAACCAAAACCAAGCTGTAACCCAACTACATGTTATTTAATAAGCCTAGCCCATGCGACATGTTGTCAAGAACGCTAGCCGTATTTCCCCACTGAATAGTCTTACTTTAACCTATGAGCTAGAAAAGCAATTGGCCATCTTATCACCAACCGCAGAGATAAGTGTAGGAAGTAAGCCGTTCAAAAATTTCCATGTATGCAGACAACAAATACCAGCAAAATGGCATAAATACATAATCTGCACAAACAGGATAATATTTGTGCCACTTACTTCAGCTGCCTCTGACACTGAAATACCCCTTAGATAGAGGCAGCCAAAGCGCCTACTCAAGTACCATACCAAATCAGAGCTTTGCGTTTCGTAAGACATAATTCTAGAACATCTCTATGTCTTCCAATGAAATAAAAAAGTGCCTGAACCAAGATAGTTATAGAACTAGGTTTAAAATAATATACCCTGGTAAAACAGTCTCTGCTGCTTTCGGTATCTTCTCCAGTCGAAATTTGACATATACCTCTGTACTCTTGAACTGAGGATCATATTCCAATTCGGCTTCAGCAAGAGCTGTTCTGAAAAATAAAAATTCATTCTAAAAGTGCGGTACGAAATAAAACTACAAATAACATCTGCAGCCATTTGTGATAGATAAATGGTTAAATTCTTGTGTTTTTGTGGTCAAGTTCAAATAGTCTTTATTTAATACATATTGAGACTAACTCTTAAAATTACTTTTATAAAAGTACTGTGACTTAATCGAGTAGATGGATAGAGCAGCAGTTTAAAGGCCCATTTACATGGTGCCAGTTTCTTGCCTGTTGTATACAATTAAATTGAAGCAATAAATGAGTTGCATGGTCTAAACAACAAATGGTCTAAAACAATTATTGCGCGCAATTTATTGCATTCAATTATTGCTCTTGTATGTACAAGAAAATGGCATCGTGTAAATGGGCCTTAAGTCACATATTATTTGGAAAAAAATTAATATTGAGAACAGCAATTTCATTTTCTTTGTAGGTAATTAACAGAAAATTGTCTTCTTTTCAAAAAATACTCACTTTGATGATGGTGACCAATATACTGGCTTTAGGGCCCGGAATATCAAGCCAGATTTATACATTTTATAGAACTGTCTCAGTTGATTCTGTACATAATGTTTATCTAAGGTCAAATAGCAGCTCTTGTCCCAATCAGCCATTACACCCCAACTTTGGAAGGCCTTTTTTTGCTTCAAAACAGTTTCTAAAGCAAACGCTCTAGCAATTTGTCTTATATTTACAGGGTCAGAGAGGTTCTTATCAGTTGCAGTCTTCTGTGCCTTCTGCAGAGCTTTTAATTCTATAGGTAGTCCATGACAATCCCATCCTGGAATGTAATGTACTCTATTGCCTTTCAATATTTGACTTCTATTATTTATGTCCTTTATAATCTAAAATAAAATGTAAATATTTAAGGTATAATTTCAATACTTTATATTATAAATGTTATAAGTTCTACATCACAAATTTTGGACTAAGAGTGCACACATCAATCAATAAAATCACAAATCATATATTGCAATGATGACGCATTGTAAAGTAACAGCCTATAAATATCCCAATGCTGGGCAAAGGCCTCGTCTATACAGAGGCTATCAGGGTATAATCCACTATGCGGCCCCACTGCAGATTGGCAGACTGCACATGTCTTTGATATATTTTTTTGTTTTTATTTTGAAAATGTGCAGGTTTCCTTACAATGTTATCCTTCACCGCTGAGCATGTGATAATTCATCACTTTAAATTAACAATTTCATTGATGCTACATCTGGGATTGAACTCAGGTTGCTCGAGTGAATGGAATAAAAGCATGCGCCAGGACAATGAGCTATCATGGCTCATGAAACATAGAGTAGGACATATTAATAGGAGCACAACTAGAGAAGATCATATTAAACATACCTTGTTAACAGCATGACCCATGTGTAAATCTCCATTTGCATATGGTGGACCATCATGCAAAACAAACTCAGGGCCAGTCAAGTTATCTCTTTGCCATTCATATAGTTCTGGAAACTGTGCTTTCTGCGTAAAGAATAAATCTTCTGTTAAAATGCTACATATAAGATCATCATTTTTAAAAATATCAATGATACCAATATATGGAGGAAAATATTACTAGGGTTCATATTTTAAATATAGTCAATTTTACCTTTTGAATTTCATCTTTAATAGAATTGTTAACGCGCGTCGGAAAATTTGTTTTTGGAAATAGTATTGTGTGAGAATACGTTTTTGTCTTCGTCTCTGCCGAATTTTTAGCCCTCACACAATTAATACAAAAATGGCTAGCCTTATGGTTTCTCAAATAGTTGCGAAAATGTGAAATTTTTTTTATCATTACCATTATTACAGGTTATTTATTTATTTCTCTATTGACAAATAAAACTGAAACTGAAACATGTTAATGACAGATAAAAATCTGACATGTACGAAAGACTAAGCATTTTGACTTGAGAGATGTGACTTATTCTTTAGTTCATTTAGATAACTTTTAATAATTAATGTTTTTTTAGGGAGTATTACTGTGGTAGGGCCACGCAACAGATTCTCTATTGCATGAATGGGCAGGTCCGTCCTAGTAAGTGCCTACTTCTGTCTTCGTTTCGTCTGGTGAGCGAGGTAGCTGGGGCCCACTTTATCAAAAGGTGCCAATGCATCTGAAACCCTATATCTTATATATAATAAGGCACGTCATAATGTCTCGCCTGGCAGGCCTCTCGCAAGCATGAAGTAAGATTACAATGCAAGACACAAGTTAGTGTTATCCCTGATAATCAATACCTATTCAAAGTTATACCCGTTGGTTAAAGCTTTCGTAATCTAGTCTGTACTCCCTCGACACATTGTGAAACTTCAATGTACGGTACATTGGAGTTTGCACTGACCTGTTAATATAATACATCTGGATGATATATAAACGCGCGGGATTGATAATGTAATTTTCCCACTGTTTTGTGAATTTTCCGAATAGAGCGTTCGCCGTTTCTATTTCTTGTGATTAAATTGATTGCAATTCACCTAATTATTTCCTCTAGATGCGTTATACCATCGGGCCCGGTCCAAGTCCAAATTGGAACTATTTTAAAGGATTCCTCCCTTTGTTAGTGTCGTGCCTTCCTGTTGTGAGCCAAAATGTCAACAGTGAATGTGGAGTTGCATCGGATTAAACAGCGTTCATGCAGTAGCCACTAGCCACTTTCTTTTAACGAAGCTGTTAAAGCCACTGAACTAATAGCAAACTATACTTCCAAAAATGATAGCTGGCAATAGCATATGAGTTGTCCTTTTCAGAAAAAAGTATACTTTTGAACGAAAGTGTCGCTGTTTGACACGATTAAACTACCTACTGGCGTACTGGCTGACATAAATGTCACATGTGTTTGACATTTCATTTCTTTTATCTGTTGGTGCTGCCAATACAACACATGTTTTGCTGATTTGCTGCAAAATAAATTAAAACTCTATTCGTATAATATTCCAAAATGGTATTATTATTGATACGTAAGAATTGGTTGTAATGTTCTTTCTTCATATATTTAATAATCGTATTTTTTAGCCGAAAACTAAGAAAAAGTTTATAGACCGAAAAAAAGCAGTAACATTTAATTTGGTGCACCGCTCTCAAAGGGATCCACTGGTAGCTGATGAAAATGCACCTCAACGAGTTCTCGTGCCAGTTAATGCTGTAATTCCACCAAAAAAAGATAAAGATCCAGTACGTTCTCCTTTCTATTGTTAACTTTTAAAAATCTGCATAAAGTCATAAAACGAACATAAATTGTATCTTTTTATATTAAACGTGATATATCATTACTTTGCTTCTTACTATTACATTTACTTTCATTTAAAAGATCTACACAAAGTCATGACAGACATAAAAAGTAAACAGTATCTATTTATATTAAAGATATGTCATTTTTTTGCTATTGCTTTTACTTTCACTTACTTTGCTTATTTTACTTATTTGACCAAATATCATATTTGCATCCAAATATCTACATGCCTTTTCAATGAAATTGTTCAATACATTGACATAAATACTATTGTTTATTAAGGATTTGACTTTAGAGCAAAGAAAAGAGCAGAGAAAGTACGGCATCTACTTTGATGATGACTACAATTATCTACAGCATCTCAAAGATACCAAGGAAGTCACAATGGTCCTGCAGCCTGTAAGTATTTTTTTATGTTTATTTTGTTATCATTCAGATATTTTATTATTTCTACTGATTTGTATACACTTTTTCTTTTTCAAATACTATCTGTTCATATTATAAACCGAGTTGAAATAAATAAAAAACATTTTATTAATATAAAACTACTAAAAATTGTTTTTATTTTTGTGAATATAAAGGCCAATTTTATTAATATGCAATTAAAGCTTTAGAAAAATTACTTGGTAAAGTTAAGAAACTATTGACTTTTTAAATAAATAAATATTCTAATACCTGATCAGCTGTAGCAGTACATATTTTACAGAAAACAACACATAAAAAGAAAGCGAAAACTGAAAGTTTAATAGAAGAGAAAAAAGAAATATCAGATACATTAACATTACCCAGTTCTGTGTTTGCATCTGAAGTTGAGGAGGATGTTGGTTTGTTAAACAAAGCTGCTTCGCAAGGTAAGTGAAAGCATATACATAATAAACAACCTAATGATTATAAAATATTGGTATATTTTTCCATTAGAACTGGGTGTTAAATTATAGTACATTGACAAGCTGCCTTGTCATAAATGTAGCTACATTTCAAATAATTTTGTTTTGAAATGATTGGACATTATTTGTATTTACTTGTAGGGGCTATATTTAAAGTAATATAAATGCTTGTATTTCTGTATATATGTGTAATGAATTAACAATAGTATCTAAAAACAAAATTATGTTCACAAAAAATAGTAAAAGTAAAGTAACAGCATATACATATCCCACTGCTGGGCAAAGGCCTCCTCTATACAGAGGGTATCAGGGCATAGTCCACCACGTGGCCCCACTGCGGATTGGCGGACTTCACATATCTTCGAAAAATATTTTTTTTTTTGTTATTATTTCGAAAATATGCAGGTTTCCTCACGATGTTTTCCTTCACCGCGGAGCACGTGATAAGTCAGCACTTAAAGTTAAAAACTTCATTGGTGCCTGCCCCGGGGATCGAACTCAGGTTGCTCGAGTATAATGAATTACAGGACACAGCTATCACGGCTTTCTTATTCACAAAACCGATTAATAATTTTTTTTTTGCCACCATATGCCAACTTGTAATGGAAATGAGATAGACAACGAATTATATTGCAGCATAAAAGAATAAGCTAACACTCCCTATATCTCTGGCTTGCTTAATGCACAGTGATTTAGCAATACTTTAGAGATGCATTTAAGTTTTGCAGGCTCTAAACATGGTGTAATTATGGCTCACTCTCTTAACTAAAACCGGTTGAAGTTAAAGAGACTTTATATTTAAGGTCTCTGCCTGGATTTGGACCCTGAAGTTGTAGCCGCTCTGGACGACGACTTCGACTTTGAGGATCCCGACAATCAATTGGAGGATAACTTCATTGAAATGGCTATGGGAGAAGGTAATTTTCAAAATGATTTAATAAGATTTAGCCATAAATTCATACAGAAATTTTGCATTTTCCCTATTCGGTTGGCATAACAAAGAATGAAAAATGCCTACATTATATTTGCTTAAGTTCATGTCTCTTAACAAGTTATTCCTTTTGGACTCATTTCTAACAAATTCCATCAACTGTTGATGAAGGTCTTTAATCACTCCACATTCCTCACAATTTGGTGAATTAGTTTTCTTCATAAAAAAGGCAAATTTGTTACATGAAATGTGTCTAGAGCCGAGTCTAAGAGCTGTACATACTAGTTACCTACACAAACTAGTATTTATGAAGCACAGCACACGTCAGGACTAGCACTGTATTGTTTAAAACCAAAAACTCTTATCTAAAGACCGTTTATCAAAATCTTTATTATTTATTATTAAATAAATTTTGTTTCATGAAAAGAATGTTCCCATTCCCAATTATTTCTGGCTTACAAAGTATCTCCATTCTTCAGTTCATTCAAATACATTAAGTCCTTGGGGCACAAGGAATAAACTGGATTAGCGTTTACATTATTAGGGCATTGACTTTCAAGGTGATGAAGACTCTTATGAGGATGATGATGACAGCAAGTCAGACGATGATGATTCGGAGAAGGCTTTCGCGTCGGACTTCGATTCAGAAGACGGCGGCAGTGACTCAGAGGTGCGTTTAAATTTCTATTTTAAAAATAATGTGTTGTATTCGCGTAAACAAGAAATCATTATATTAAAGCCCAAGTCCAAATGTTTTAATAATCAATTCAACTGATGACTTGGCTGGTGGTCTTGCTAAGCTTTTGGCTTCAGCACTGTGGGTCGTGGGGTCGATTAGACTGAGGCAACTATTTTTATGACCTGATAATAATTGTTCGGATATTATTCTTTGTTCTTGTTTATTTTATGTTTTAAATTCCGCTATAACAGACACTTATTTTAGCCTACAGGAGTGACTTGTTTTTACAATATAAAAAACTAGTGTTAATACCATAGATTGACACTGGTAACTATTGCATTTTATGCAATAACATACAGTTTGCATTTTATCCATCTTGACCCAATCAAAGAAACACTCTCATTTGACAACACTATACTTATACATCATACAAGACAAGTTCATCCTCGCTAATGAGATTGGCAAAACCAACACAATGCACTACTGCGTCTGCTTTTCACTAAAGCAAGGGTTGAAGAGTTGGAATACCATTAGGCATTAAGTCCGCCCTTTTTAGCTCTTAGCTAAAGTTGTAGCAATTTTAACTTTTTATATGAATAAACTATAATAAATATATGAATAAAAAATATATGAATAACGCTAAAATAAACCCCACGCTTTACGAACTAAGATAAGCCGTCGATGAACTCACAGCGTGAAAATCTCGACTCTATTGACGTTCTTTTCTTTTACATTTCACAACTCCTTCTTCCGCTTCACAGCAAGAAAACACACAAGTGAACATGTACATAGTGCTTATAAAATTCGTTGTTTCTGAAAACTTTAATAACATTTTACAACTACTAGCGGACCGGGCAGACGTTGTCCTGTACACACGACTTAAATCTGATAATTTATAAATAAAAAAAAAAACAAAAAAGAAAAAGAATTGTGAATCTCAACCATCCAGGGCGCCACCCGAACGCATACAAAAAACTCATTCATATCGGTCCAGCCGTTTAGAAGTTCAGTGGCAACACACATACAGTAGAATTATTTATATAGGGAGGCTTTTCTAAGTGTATCCATTTTTTTTTAATTAAATTCTAGACATAAATAATGTTAAATAACAAAAGAATAAATATTTAAAATCACTCTTAATTATTTAATTAAATTCATTGGAACTTATCTCAAAAAGTGCGTGATCTATGGGCAACTCATTTATTTTAAGCGCTATCATAACTAACACGCACAAGTTCGTTTCAAAGTATACGCAGCATTTATGAATGACTACCGCATTGTCAACAAGTTCTGTTTTTTAGGGAATAGAATTGCAATTTTTTTGGAGAAAAAAGTTTGTTTTATTTCAATAAACGATTATACTACCGAGTCTGAACCTCCTGTGTGAATTTGGGCACCTTTAAAAAAGCCACCCTGTATATAAAGTTGTACTATATAATTTTTTTTTGGACTATGGTCGTATTTCGCAGGAGCCCGGAAGGGCTAAGATGCCGTCGTGGGTCGACCGTGATAAGGACGACACCAAGTCCCGTTTCTCCCAATACTCGATGTCATCGAGTGTCATCAGACGCAACGCTGGCCTGTCTCTATTGGACAACAGGTTCGAAAAGGTGGGTTTACTTGCAATTCTAAAAGTTTCAGTGCTAATGCCTCTAGATGGCGCAGTAGTATATGGACTGATTTGTTACCTCTAGTTTCTAACTCAGTACAGAAATCGGAAAACATCGCGAGGAAACCTGCATAATTGACAATCGAAATAATGACAAAAAAATGTTTCTAAGACATGTGAAGTCCGCCAATCCGCAGTGGGGTCGCGTGGTCGACTCCTCCAGGTGTCTTTGCCCAACTGTGGACGTATATGAAGCTGTATCCTTACTTTTTTGTATTGCTCATAGAACTCATAAGAGTTTATGATTATGATGATGTTTTTTTCGTTTGTCTTGTATATGAGGAAAAACCCCCCCCCCCCCCCCCACCCCTCACGTGTCAATTATACCGTATTAAGCGACTCGAATTTTCCAGATGATCGATAGAAAATGATACACTGTATTATGCACCACAAACTTTTCAGATGTATGTAGAATTACTAACTGGTAAAACTTTGTCCAGATGAAATTTATTTTTGTAAAACGTCCTTACAACACTGGTTAATGTTGCTCTATAAAGTAAGGGCAATGTTTAAAAAAAAATGATGATGTATTTAGCACCGCGAACTTTCCAGATGTTCGCCGAATACGACGACACGGAGGTGGGCGCCCTGGACCTGGACGAGATCGAGGGTTTCCTGCCGGACACGCACGATATGCTGCTGCAGGCTGCAGAGGAGTTCGAGCAGTCCCGGAAACGCCAGCACCTGGATAAGGAGAAGGAGATAGCCAGGTGATTGGTGATTGGGAGCAAGCGGAGAGATTAGAGTAGTACAGAGGTACGGCCACGCAACACCTTAGGCTGTTGCACGAATGGGCCCAGGGTAAGTGCCACGACCTGACAGAAGACCGGCGTGAAGTGAGAGTGTTATAATTCTGCGTTCTTGTCAGTGAGGTAACCGGGGCCTACTTTATTATAAGGTAACGCATCTGCAACAGGTGAACCGCCAGCTCGCTTGCCATCTTCTCACATAATAAAATATGACGATGATTGTATGGGAGTCGCACGAAAGTCGAACTAAAATTATACGTAAAAACTAGAGCAAGTTACACAGGAACTGTACAATTGTATCAAAATGTGAATAATATGTTCTACTTCAGATTACAACGCCTGCAAGAGATAGAAGAGGAGTCCGAGGATGACCTGGTTGCAATGGAAGTGGAACCGAAAGAGAGATGGGACTGCGAGACCATACTGTCAACATACTCAAACCTTTACAACCATCCAAAGCTGATTGAAGAGCCCAAGGTATAACACTATACATATAATTATCGCAAAATTATAGTAATACGATTCTTAATAGCTTGGGTAGATATAGCTTAAATTAAATGGGATGATATAAATAGTATTGCTGTGTCTTGTATATACATATATTGACAGAACCTTTTTTGTAATGACCCATCAATGACAAGACCCTAGTACCCTTTTACTATAAACAAACAAAATAAGCTTGCTGAGGCATGGATCTCTGCGTAATCCGTCAGAGCTGTGCTGCTTTTACCATAAAAACACAACTAACTTTTCACCATTTTTTATGTGAGGATTGTTTTTTTTATGTGTGAAGCAAGGTAGCGGTTCACCTGATGTTAAGTGATAACCGCCACCCAAGGACATTTGCAACACCCGTAGAGTTCCAAATGCGTTGCCACCTTTTAATGAAATGCGCCCCGACTACCTCACTCAACAGACGAAACAAAGAAGTAAAGGAATAACACTTCCATTTCACACCTGTCTTCTGTGATATCTTGCTTATATATCTCTCTATCATATATCAACGAGCTGTTGCGTGGCTCTACCACAGCTATCTACCATCTTTGTTACACTATAAAAAAAAAACATGTAATTTTGAAGATAGACCATAATAAATAAATAAATGAATCCAGATGCCGAAGAAGATAGCCATCGATCCCAAGACCGGTATGCCGAAGGACACCCTCGGGAAAGACAACAAGCTCACCATCAAGTCCTTGGCGAGGTTCAACGCGCAGAACGAAAGCGCTGCTCGGGTCTCCGACGACGAGGGTTGCACACAAGCGGAGACTGTACTATCCACCCTCAGTGTACTTTCCATAAGGTATATAGCTCCATTTCCATTAAGTATATATCAGGATCGTGCTCCGTGGCAGCCTGTGGGAGAGGCTTATGTTCAGCAGCGCACCCAAACAATGAGGCCGAAATGATGATGATGACATAGCAAAAGGCTCATTGACTTGTATTTTTGCGTGGAAGGAGTTGGATAGAAAGTCCTAACAACCACTGCCACATATAAACATCTGTTGTAGTCTATTCGATAACATTGCCTCCTTACCTTGAGATATTATTATCCTGTTTTGTAAGGATGTTCTACAAACATAAATTTCATGTGGCCAAACACCCAGATCTGATGCAACTATCTGCGGGTCACTCCACTAGTTCGTGTGGGGAACGAACCCACGACACACGTCTCGGAAGTCAAAATCTTGGCAACTGCGCCACGGAGTCACTGAGTACTGACTTAACTGGCATCAAAAATGAAACTATATTTATTGCGTTTATTTTTAATTCCCGACGTTTCGAACCCCGTTCATGATCACGGAAGAGATTAAAAATAAACGCAATAAATCTGTGAAAACAGTTTAATTTATGAAGTGTAATCGCGTTAATACAATAAAATTTTCTTGCATCAAAAATCTTAAGACCACAGCCACAGGTATACCAGGTTGGTATTTTGAATTTATTGTTTCTTGTTTATTTATTATTTATATATTTTCATTCTCCAATTGCACAGGCCGAAAGATGAATCTTCTGAGGAGAAGAAAGAGAGGAAACGCCTCCTTAGAGAATACAGAAGAGAGAGGAGAATAGAGAAGAAGGCAAACAAGGAGGCATTCAAGGAGGAGAAGAAGCGGCAAGAGAAGATAATGCTGAACAATAGAAATAATGTTCAAGGCAACAAAATATTTTAGCGTAGTATTAAGGGAAGTCTATTTGGCTAAGTTCATATTTGGACTAGCTTGAACATTCGAAAAAAAATATATATATATATATTACTCTCTATTTATAAGTCTTTTAATTTCACCAAACACCAGTGTTTTTTTTGGCAAATGGTAAGTTTTCAAATCAAACTTATAGAAGTGGGAATCCACGAAACCGAAATCTAATGGAAACAAAAGCTTGCTTTCCAATTGTTTGTACCATTGCCACATAATCGCTACTATTTTATTCACTTCAAGGTATAAGAACCTGGAGGACCGCTTAGCTCGGTTTGTTTTTTTTTTTTTTTGGTAAATCATGTATTTTGGAAATTACATTTAGATACAAAATACTGAGTAATGAAATATGCATAATATTTTTCGAACTTACCGACGTAATAATAAGAAAATATGAACGGGTGTTTTTCACAAAAGAAAGAACTTTAAAAAAAGTTGAAAAAATAACAAAATCATCTAGATCGACAAAAAATAAAGAAAGCAATGATATGGAATCGAAAAAAGTAAAAAAATAAGTGTGTAAATGATCGTGACACGAACAACGGCCTTCTGTTTAGGGGCCGCCCGATCACCGAACGAGCTATTATAACATTTTTTTTTTCTGTGAAATTTACCGTCGTATTCGAATGATATTTTTGATTCCCTGAAAACTGGATTAAAACGACATTTTCTAAAAATGAAACCTAGCCAGATCGATTTTTCGCCCAAATTTCATGAAAATCGCTGGAGCCGTTACCGACATTCCGATTATATATACAAGAATTGCTCGTTTAAAGGATAAGATAAGGGAAACAGTTTTTCAGCCAGTATACATGCATAACCTAATGAAACACATATCAACAGAACAACATTTTATTACAATCTCTTATCTTCAATATTCGAATTAGAACCTAGATTAAATCTTTACGTACTATGTCGACAGATAAAATAGGAATGTGCTTCTTATGACGGATAATTAAACCATTCCATAATGAACTTATTAATTGTTTGTAACATAAATTAAAAAAAAATCATAATCATTCCTTATAAAATTCGCTAGATTACACAATAATAGACACATTAGTAGAAAAAATATTTATGGCCAGTAACAGAACCATTTTAAAACAATTATTCGCTATATATTTCATATATAGAAATGACACAATTCTCTTATAATACATTGTCCTTGTCTATCAACAAAAAGACATCTAAGGAGATGTTCTCGATACCACTGTTTTAAAAAAAATGTAATAATTTATTATTTTTTCTTCTATTTAAATGTTCATATTCTCTGTATATTCATATTCATAACTCCATGCGGATGACCAACGCGCCTGTACCCTTTCTTAATACTGGCTGATGGAGCCAATAGTGTATGAGAAATTGGGGCCTTTACATTATTGCTCCAAACGTCACTCCTCAACTAGGATAGCACCAGACCCTCGTAGCCTAGACCATCAGGATCGGGACACTCCATACGGTTCTTCAGATGCTGCAAAGTGTTGTGGAAGTGCTTCGTGATCTGCTCCACTTCATCGGACTGGTCCAGGTTGGCGAGCTCTTCTCGGATCTTCTGGATCACCTGAAGATTACAATATCAAGCGTCACTTAATTACTGGGAACTTAGTTTTCAACAAAAAGGAAAGTAGCTACATGATGTACATGGTTATTTTATGGACGACGGACATTATATATATGTATATATATATACATATATATATATACATATATATATACATATATATATATATATATATATATATATACAATTTGATTCTAAATAAAAACTCATTTTTTCTTTCAGATATTATTTTTAAATTTTTCAAACATTATGGACACCCTATTAGAAACTCCTGCCTTACCGTCTCAATACCATAACCTGTTGACGAGCACTAAAACTTTTCGCTCAACGCATAATTACTAAACGGCTTATCAATAGGGTGACCACTCTTAACTGGATAAAAAAAACAATATTCGAATTGATATTTCTGATCCGGTTATTTCTTGTCAAAATAAAATATTAATATATTTTTTTTATTATGGAATGCTCAATTAACATTATATCAAATTATACTAAAATAACTAAATTTTACTTTGTCTAAAAAATCCGTTATGTACTAAAAATGTCTAAAAAATCACCCTGTATATGCAACTCACCGCGTCAATGAGGTTGATGGTGAGGCTGGCGTTGCCCCGCTCCCTGAGCAGAGCGTAGCGGCCGAGCAGTTCGGCAAGTAGCTGGGCTTGCACGCCGCCGTCCATGCACTGCTGGGCGACGCGCGCCGCCTTCTTCAGGCAGTCGAGCGCTCGCGACGCGTCGTTCAGCGCCCACTGTGAATGCGATGAGACAATTGTTACGTTATAATCGTTTTGGATGACGGATACTAGCTGTTGCCCGCGACTGCGTCTGCGTAGAATGGGCTGATGGCGTAACATTCAGACAGATATACATGAAAATATGTATATAAATTATAGCCTATGTGTTATTCTGATGTATAAGCTATATTATTGAAAAGTTTCGTTAAAATCCATTCAGTAGTATTTGCGTGAACGAGTAACAAACATCCATAGATACAAACTTTCGCCTTTATAATATTAGTAAGGATGTGAAATGCGCCAATCCACAGTGGGCTGCGTGTTGGACTCTTTTTGTGTACGAAGGAGGCCTTTGCCCAGCAGTAAGACACGTTGCCAATAATTCCAAGTTGTTTAAATAAACCGTTATCAATTCCATTTGATGTCTTTACGCTAAAGATATAGAAGACATCATTGTACGGCGGCGTTATTGCTAAGTTAGCAAATTCTTCCAGGCAATCCAAGTTCCAAGTATAACTTCTTACGTGGGTACATAAGTACCCACATACGTTTTTTATTAACTGAACTGAGTTCGCGGTCGAACAAGCTTGCCACCTTCCCACACAAAAAAAAACCACTTCTAGTATTCACTTCGACCGGTGAGAGTAACAAACATCATTACATACAAACTTTGACGTTTATAATATTGGCAAGGATAAGGATTAGCTATCCCCCAATTATGACGAGAATTCATTCATTGACCTGCTTGCCATCCTTCGCGCCCTTCCAGAAAAGGTGGGCACAGAGGGCCACCGCCCTGCTCTGGTCCGGTTTCTTCAGCAGCTTACTCGCCGCTAGGGCGCATTGGGTTCGCATCGGCTCGGCGTTTTCTGCCCCTGAAAGCAATATTTATACCATTGTTATAGCATTATCGTATACTTATTCATCGCAAAATACATTTTTTTTGTAGAAAAAAGGAACGAAAAGTTTCTCGCTCTCTGCCCGATTCCCAAATCGAACGGACGCCTACGGGATTTGCGCCCTGGCGCTCTAACCACTGAGCTAAATGGTCGATTGCCATACAACACTTCGGCTTCGGCGCCGGGGGTCGTGGGTTCGATTCCCACACGAGACAAATATTTGTGCGACCCACAAATAATTGTTTCCGATCCGGGTGCTTGTCCACACGTGCAAACAAATCTATGCACGTAAAACGATAATCATCATCATCATCATCATCATCAGCCGCAAGACGTCCACTGTTGAACATAGGCCTCCCCCTTAGAACGCCACAACGAACGACACTTTGCCATTTGCATCCACCGGTTCCCCGCGACTCTTATGATGTCGTCGGTCCACCTAGAGGGAGGCCTACCAACGCTACGTCTTCCGGTTCGTGGTCGCCACTCGAGAACCTTTACTCCCCATCGGCCATCAGTTCTTCGAGCGATGTGGCCTGCCCACTGCCACTTCAACTTGCAGATCCGGAGAGCTATGTCGGTGACTCCGGTTCTTCGGCGAATTTCCTGATTCCGGATTCTGTCGCGCAATGAAACTCCGAGCATAGCTCTCTCCATAGCTCGTTGTGTGACTCTGAGCTTCTCCAATAGGCCAACTTTTAGAGACCACGTCTCAGTGCCATACGTCATCGCTGGCAACACACACTGGTTATAAACCCTTGTCTTTAGGCACTGTGGAATATTGGACGAAAAGATATCGCGTAGCTTCCCGAACGCTGCCCATCCGAGTTGGATTCTTCGAGTGACCTCTTTGTCGAAGTTGGACCTGCCTAACTGGACCGTTTGTCCAAGGTAGACATAATGGTCGACAACTTCGAGTGTATCGTTCCCAACAATAACTGGTATGGGTTCGACATGAGCATTTGACATGATTTTCGTCTTGCCCATGTTCATTTTAAGACCCACCTGTTGGGAAACGTTACTGAGGTCCCTGAGCATAGTGTTAAGGTCCTCCAGCGACTCAGCCATTATGACTATATCGTCGGCGAAACGAAGGTGAGTGATGTATTCGCCGTTGATATTGATGCCGAATCCGTCCCAGTCCAAGAGCTTAAAAGCATCCTCCAATGCAGTCGTGAACAGTTTCGGAGAAATGACGTCTCCCTGTCTCACGCCTCTCTGCAATTGGATTGCTTTCGTGCTCTCATTCTGTACACGGATGGACATAGTGGCGTTTCTATACAAACACTTCAGAACTTCGATATACCTATAGTCGATATGACATCGCTGGAGAGACTGCAATACCGCCCAGGTCTCGATTGAATCGAAGGCTTTTTCATAGTCCACAAACGCTAAGCACAATGGCCGATTATACTCCTCGCTCTTCTGTATAATCTGGCGGAGCGTATGGATGTGGTCTATGGTGCTAAAGCCTTTCCGGAACCCGGCTTGTTCGGGAGGCTGGAAGTCATCAAACCTGCGTTCAAGACGATTCGTAATGACTCTAGAAAACAGCTTATATACATGGCTCAGGAGCGAGATGGGTCTATAGTTCTTCAACAGGGTCATATCTCCCTTTTTGAAGAAAAGCACCACCACACTCCTATGCCATGCTTCTGGTGTGGTGCCTTGAAGTATGACGGAATTGAACAACTTCTGGAGGACTTGTAGTACCGGTTTTCCACCCGCTCTCAGAAGTTCAGTCGTAATTCCGTCATCACCCGGTGCCTTATTGTTCTTAAGCTGTTTCAGAGCCATTCTAATCTCGTACAGGCTGATGTCTGGGATATCCTCAGTGTAGTGTCGGGTTAACCTAGCTCTGGTGTCCTGAGCTGTTCTGACAATGGGTTTACATGTCGAGGTGTACAGCTGTCCGTAAAACCTTTCAAGCTCCCTCAAAATGTCCGGTTTCGATGAGATGACACTGCCGTCGTCGATCTTCAGCTTTGTCATCAGGCTTTGCCCAATACACGAATGCCTTGCAAACACTTTAGAGCCCTGGTTCCGCTCGATTGCAGCTTTAATACGCTGTGTATTATAGGACCGCAAGTCGTGTCGCATGGATTTTGAGATTCGTCTATTGAGTTTGCCATACTCCGACATATCAACTGAAGATTGCAGTCTCATCTCTGTTCGATCTTTCATTAATTGAATGGTCTGTGGGGAGAGCTTTTGAGGTTTATTCGGGCGCGGGGCCTTAAAGAACTTAGAACCCACTGTGTGGACAGCTTCCACCAACCCATTGTGCATCTCGTCCGTTGATTCGCATTCTTCAAGGCACTGAAAGCGATTTTGTAGTTCGAGTTCAAAGCTTTTGGAATATTGGATTTGGGCAGGGCAAGGTCGGAGCGTGGACTTCATCAGGCGTGACCTTTCAAGCTTCGCGTTGATATTCAATGTGCCTCTAACAATACGGTGATCACTACCGGTTTTCACCCTGCCGATCACGGAGACATCATTGAATATTCGCTTCTTGGTCGTCATGATGAAGTCGATCTCATTTTTGGTTGAACCATCGGGGCTTATCCAAGTCCACTTTCTGGACGGACGCTTCTGGTAGAAGGAGTTCATCAAGTAGAGTCCCTCCTTCTCCATAAAATCGACCAGATTCTGACCCCTCTGGTTCCGCTGCCCATATCCGTATGCTCCCACTCTCAACTCATCGCCTTGCCTGGCGCCAACCTTTGCGTTGAAGTCCCCCATAACAACCGTGAAGTAAGTTTTGGAGGTATGTATGGCTGCTGATATCTCCTCATACATAGCCTCTACCTCGTCATCGGGATGTGTCGAGGTCGGCGCATATACCTGTATAACCTTCAGCGAATACCGATCGGTGATTCTGAGTATAAGGTACGCTACCCTACTCGACACACTGTCGAACTTCACTACGTTGTTTATGTGGGGCTTACGGACGAGAAACCCAACACCACCCTGGGATTTACGGTCTCCTTCCCGGAAGAAAAGCATGTTGCCGGAATCTAGAACTATCGTATCCTGCCCCTCTCGTCGGACTTCTGATAGTCCCAGTATGTCCCATCGCAACTTGCTCAGTTCCTCCTCCAGCTCGATAATCTTCTCGTCAGTCCTGAGCGTGCGGACATTGTGTGTTGCCAGGGCCAAGGTCTGTTTGGGGTGGTAGCGTGGTATCTGCCGGAGATTCTTAGCACCCCCTGCTCCACCGTTACCTTGCCTGCTACCAAAGGCAGGAATAGTGGAGCTGCCGGGGACTGGGGGCCATGCAGAAAGTGTGTCTGTCATTGGGGGGGGGGGGGGGGGGGTTTGCCTTAATCCCCACGCTTGGCAGGCGTCTTGGGGATCGCAGTTATAGATGTTATGTACACGGAAGCCGCTGCTGCCCAACTTCCGGATTTTTCCCTTAGTCGCCTCCTACGACACCCTCGGGATGAAATGGGTGGGTGCTATTCTTTCCCGGACACCCCACGGGAAGTCCAGCCAGTCACCCCACAAAACGATAATACAGCACCCTAAAAAGAACAAAAAATATCTCCAGCTCACTTGCCACCTCCCCACATAAAATAAAACCAAAAACCCACCGAAGCAGTTGATCTGTTCGAACGTGGCGATGATGAGCGTGATGGCGGCCAGCTGCGCCTTGCTGTCCGATATCTCGTCCTCGTAGAGCGAGAAAGCCTGCGATAGATACTCGTACGCGATCGTCTCGTGGTTCGCGAAGCCGATCTCGCCGATCGCCAGCGCCCCCTGCAGGTACAGTCTGCAAAAAACGTGCACCGATATTATTAACTCATCGCAGGTGCTGCAGGTACAGTCTGCAAAAAGCATGTGCCGATATTATTAACGCATCGCAGATGCTGCAAGTACAGTCTGCAAAAAGCATGTGCCGATATTATTCACACATCGCAGGTACTGTCTGCAAAAAATGTGCCTATATTATTAACACATCGCAGCTTACTGCAGGTACAGTCTGCAAAAGCATGTGCCGATATTAACGCATCGGAGTTACTGCATGGTACATTTTGCAAAAATCATGCTCCGATATTATTAACACTTCGCAGGTACAGTCTGCAAAAACATGCTCCGATATTATTAACGCATCGCAGCTACTGCAGTGCACTGCAAAAAGCATGCTCCGATATTATTAACCCATCGCAGGTTACTGCATGCACAGACTGCAAAAAGCATGTGCATATATTATTAAAACATCGCAGGTACTGTAGGTACAGTTTGCAAAAAGCATGTGCCGATATTATTGACGCATCGCAGCTGCTGCAGGTACAGTCTGCAAAAAGCATGTGCCGATATCATTAACTGATCGCAGATGCTCTATAGATAGCTCTTTATCCGGGCGCACGCTTTTAATCTATACAGATAAATAAAATTGGAGTGTCTGAGTGTAATATTCAAATTGGCTCTCATGTCTTTTCCACAACGGAAGGGTTTTACACTGCGATATCATAATTGCAATCTATTGTATCTCCTCTCCCCATACCTCAAAGGTAATTCGGCGAGCTCCGCTTTAACGAGCATACTGATCGTCTGGTGGCAGAACTGGAATATCTTCTGGCACTTCTTCTCCCACATCTCATCCTGCAAGAGTTGACGTTCGATCAGATAACTTATAGGCAATGCTACTGTCGAAGCTGCTAAAGCGAAATCGTTTACATAATAATAATAATGTAAAAAACGATATCGCTGTTGAGAGATATTCGAATAACAAATATGGACGGAACCAATTTCTTCTTATAACCAATTTCGACAACAGTGGGGGGGAAAAACATAAAAAATATATACATAGAAATCGCAACTGATTCCTCGTGCAGGGGCCTTTGCAGATTAAAGAGATTGTGAGTTTCTCATCAACATCAACAGACTAACCGCATTTCAATTTTTTATAGTACTAATCTCTGCACTTAAGATTAAACATTAAACTTCTACAATACAACCCATGTCTTCGGCATTCGCGGCCTGACGCTTTAGCCACTAAGCTAAACCGCTGATTGCCACACCGACGAAAATCTTAACGTCTTTTATCTACATTGCTTTTAAGCATTTGAAGCAATGCTTGGCGCGCCATTGTTATATCCTTTCCAGCATACAAACAGTCGTTTGGCTCAGTGGCTAAAGCGTCAGGCCGCGAATGCCGAAGACGTGGGTTCGATTCCCACAGCGACGATCCTCCCGTACTTTTTTTACAAATTTTAATAGCCGGTGGTGTTTTCCTAAGTTGGTCGAAGGTCAGGGCCCAGAAGTAGGTCCAGCACTCGCCTGCTCCCCAAGGTCTTTGTAGAGGAAGGCCAGCCGGTACGCGTGGAACAGCAGCGGCGGGAAGGTGTGCTGGATGCGGCGCGCGCCGCCGTTCTGCAGCAGCCTCCGCGCCGCGCTCAGGATCAGGTACTGCTGGTCGGCGGAGTCCGACCTGAAGTGGTGGATGAGTCTGCGGAGGGACGGGAGGGCTTATCGCTGCACGGTGTAATACTCGACAAACATTTACTAACATTGGCAAAATCACTGACGTATCAGTGTATAGTACGGAAAAAAAAACATTTACTACTGCACATAATAAAACAAGCGCCCCCACCCCCTATCCAAAGATTTATCACTACATAGTATAAACAAATAAATATTTTTAGGACACATTTTTACACAACGTTCTCTAGTCCCAAACTAAGCAACACTTGTACTATGGGTACTAGAAAACTGATAAATATACTTAAACATACTTTTCTTTTGTAAATAAATACAAATTATCCATATATAAACACCCAGACACTAGAAAAACACCATGTTCATCACACAATATTTTTCCAGTAGTGGGGATCGAACCCACACCCTCTGGCGCAGAAGGCAGGTACATTACCCACTACGCCATTCGGGTCGTCATAATAAAACAAGCATTCCCCCTACCACTAAACATACATTAAAAAAAATACATACATACAGTCGAACGTAGAACCTCCTCTTTTGAAGTCGATTAAAAATGATAAAATACATAACCGTAGTACGAACGACGCGAGAGCATACCTAGCCAACAAACCCTGCTCCTCCATGAAATCCTCTAAATCAGACTCTGGGGAGGGCTGGTCAGGCTGATCCTTGACCAAGACATCCAGCATCGACAGCACCGCCTCCACCTGCAGAAAAAAAGCATTATGTTTTTTTATTTAATTTGTTATTTGTTTGCAAGAATAAGATAATACTTATATTACCTTAATTTTGATATGGTCATTTTTTTAATGGTCTTATTGTGATATGGAGTGTGGGCAAATATATGTAGACACATTGACATCCTTTCTTCATCTTATAGCGTTGGCTCATTATTAAAGTAAAGTAGATTTATGGATATTTTGTTATAAAACCTATCAAGCTTTAACTCCTACGAGCCTGAATGAGATAGATAGTGGAACAGTATGTACTGTAAGAAGCGGTTTAACGAACGAACGACGAATCGTTTATAAAACAATAAAGGTAGTATGGGTTGATTACTCTTTACTTTGTGTAATAAGTACAAAATAAGAAAGTATAACAAATACTTTGGCGTTTCGTCTCGTGAGCGAGATAGCCCGAGCCAAATTTTCAAAAGGTGACAACCTTCTCAAACTCTCAACAACGCATCTGTAACCCTCGGGTGTAGCAGATGTCCATGGGCTGCTTGTTTGGCAACTTTTCACATAAAAAAAAAAGTCATAGCCCTAGTCATTGTTATCAAGTACCCTTGTACAAAATTTTTTTGTCCGATCGCGGTAAACTTGCCGCTGACGATGTGACATCATTAATAGCGATAATTTTGCTCACGTCTTCGGGTGTTGAGATGTAGGTGTCCGTCTCTAGGACGTCGGTGATGAGGTGAACGGCGATCATCACCCGCCCGTGGTGGTTCAGGTGGGTGATGAGCGGCGCGTAGTTCTGCAGCCGCACGAGGGTCAAGATGTTCCTGTAGTGGTCAGCGGGCAGGTTGAGGATCTTCATCAGCTCCTTGAACGCGGGCGTGTTGTGCTCCAGGTGAGGTTTGCCGCTGAAAATAACGAAGTTATGTTCAAAAAAGAATTCTTTCTCCGGTTCTTCTCAGATAAGTGGTTTATTTCCGAACCGGTAGTAGTGTTTTTTGACAATAAATAAGTAATTGTAATGTTTCTATATTGAATAAAGATATTTGAATTTGCAGCCCATCGACTCGGGGCAACTTTAATAAATTATGTAAAATAACCACGCCTATCGACTCAGTTATTAAAGGGGCGACTATAATATTCATGTTTACCTGGTGCGATGTATTTGACAATCCCGCCCATTGACTCTGTTCTTAATTAATTTAAAATATTATGCGAACTAACCTGGAGCCCATCGACTCAGATATTAATGGAGCGTCTATTATATGTGTCAGTTACCTAGTGCGATGTATCTCAGTATGTGCTCGGCGGCGACGGCAACGGTGTGAGTTCAGATCTTTTTTGGGTGTGTATTACAATTATGTGTCGGTTATCTGGTGCGATGTATTTCCTGCTCTCTGGCCGAACGACTGAATTCTTAAAGAAACGCCTATAATGTGTTAGTTACCTGTTGCGATGTGTTTGACGATGCAACCCATCGACTCGGTTCTTAAGCACGGTTTCTATATTAAACGAACGGTTAAGTTACATAGTTTCGTAACTTTCATAACGACTTGTACATTAAGGAAACGCCAGTAACACACTTTTCGTAGGTAATGCAATGGCGCATAAGGAAAACGCCTCGTTTTGTTAATATAGGTACCGGACGTACACGCATTTTATCTACAAGTCGCTATGAAAGTTACGAAGATATGTAACTTACGGCCGTTCGTTTAATATAGAAACCGGGATTAATGGATTCGACTTTAATATATTATCTAACCTGCAGCCCATCGACTCGGTTGTTTGTTGCAATGTATTTGATGATGCAGATGGCTGATTTGTGAGCTCAGGTCTTCATGGGGCGTCTTCGTATTACATGTGTCAATCACCTGGTGCGATGTATTTCCTGGTCCATGGCCGAACGACTCAGTCTTAACGGAACGACTGTAATGTGTCAGTTACCTGGTGCGATGTATCTCCGTGCAGATGGCGGCGGTGTGCGCTAGCACCCTGTCCACGTAGGCCAGCTTGTCAGGGTGGCAGCGCTGGGCCAGCTTCAGAAGTGCCAGCTGGAGGCTCAGCGTGTCCTCTGGTGCCATGTCAGTTCGGCTCTGAAGAGATACAGACTCGTATAAGGCGCACGGTCAGTATCACCGCAGTATTGTAGGGAGGGATATCGATATATCAATATAAAATATTTAATATCGAAAATATACCAAAAACTATATTTTTTCGAAATATCACAAAATTTTGATTTTTATTTCGAATCCGGCACAGAATCCGTAGATGCCATATATTTGACATACCATTTTTTTTTAACTTCCTTAACAAAAAAATATTGATATATCGATATTTTCTCTTCGATATATCAGGGCCGATATTGCTATTTATTATATATCGATATATATTTCTTCACTTTGGACATCTCCACAGTATTGCCGTCCACATATCACACAGGCTCGTCCGGGGAAGTAGCACTGCCTCCCAAAAGACTGGCGTGAAAGTGTTCTACTTTCGCGTTTCGTCTGGTGAGTTCTCACTCACGATGAAGGTAGTCGGGGACCAGTTTTTTAAAGTCTCTCAACTGATCGAGTCTTGTAGATGTCAATGGGCGGCGGTATTCAATTAATATGTGGTGAGCCACCTGCTCGCAACACCTGCTGACAACTTATCATATTTAAAAAAATCCGCAGTCATCACACTTACCTCAAATAAGTTTTTAACTATGATTTTTTTTTTATGGAGAAAAGGGGCAAACGAGCAGGAGGCTCACCTGATGGTAAGTGATCAGCGCCGCCCATGAACACCTGCAACACCCGAGGGCTCACAAATGCATTGCCGGCCTTTCAAGAAAGAGTATGCTCTCTTTTTGAAGGTTCCCAGGTCGTAACGGTTCGGAAAGACCGCCGGCGGCAGTTGGTTCCACAGAGTGGTTGTGCGAGGCAAGAAATGCCCTAAAAATCGCGCTGTTGTGGAACGTTGGACATCGAGGTGGAGTGGATGAAATTTTTGGTTCTGGCGCGATAAATTAATTAAATTTAAATGTTAATATTTTTAAACTAGTGATGTCGCCTTTGAAATTTATTTCGTTTTAATTTATTTTTATCTGAACATTTTTAAGTTTTATCTACTGTTTTATCTAGTGGAAGTCAATGGGGGAGGCCTATGTTCAGCAGTGGACGTCCTACGGCTGATATGATGATGATGATGATGATCTACTGTTTAGAGACTACCACTAAAAGTTATATCAAATGGTTTTTGACAATTGCTGAACGTGACATGTCAACTACGCCCGGGCGCGTTTAATTTTGGCGCGTTTTAGTTTTTGGCGCGGGCTGTACGCACCTGCGTTATTGCTGCTACTTGATCGGAGAACACCTCAAACAGCTGCACCTCTTGCTCCTTTCCATCTTCCAGCACAACACTCAGGTTCACGTTGCCTTCGTTCCTCTGGAATTCACACACAATATACATTAACCTTCGCTCTAGTAACGACAATATTTTGAGATTGAGATTTTGAGAATTATATTTATATAAAGACTAGTGCAATCTACCTGGCTGTAGCTGGCGAGGCGCTCAATCAGACTGATGATGATGTTCTTGATATTGACCCCGGGCTGCAACTCGGCACAGGATTTGAGGAAGGGCTGCAGATTCGCCAAGTGGAACTCGTCGGGGAAAACCTGTGGGAAAAGCAGTGCTGTTACTGTGGTTAAAGCTTAATAAAAGAAATTTAATGGTAATTAATAGATAGACCTAGAACCATGTGCTACTTACAAAATGTTAGTCTACGGTATATAAAAATTTCAGGCCTCTAGTCTAGTTGACCATCAAAGTCATAACTAATACTGTTTTCGTAAAATACATGGCTTGATTTGGCTACAAGGCTTTTCTAAGTGTATCCATTTCTTTTAATTAAATTCCAGACATAAATAATGTTATATAAAAATGATAAAAATTTAAAATCACTAGTAAGTAATTAATTACATTCATTTGAACGTATCTCAAAAAATCATTTATACGCAACGCATTTATTTTACGCGCGATCATTCATAACTAAGACGCACACAAGTAAAATTTAGGTATTTATGAATGACTACGGCATTGTCAACACATTCTGTTTTTTAGGGAATAGAATGGCATTTCTTTTGGAAAAAAAAACTTTGTTTTTTATTTCAATAAACGATTATACTACCTAGTCTAAAGTCTGAACCTCCTGTGTAAATTTGGGCACTTCTCAAAAAACCTCCCTGTATGTGCCCAAACATCTCAAAAAATCACCTGTATTATGCACTCCATTAGGTACTCCTGGGCGATCGCGTCCCGACAGCTGACCACCTGCTCCAGGATCCCGGGCAGCACCAGCCTGCCGTAGTCGTCCACGGTCACCGACTCTAACTGCGAGAGCCTCACCAGGTTGGTGCCCACCAGGATCCGGAGCTCGGACCGTTCGCGTTCACGTCGCTCCTTGTCCCTGGAAGTGATTAAAGCGTATAAAGTGACAGCCAATACATGTCCCACTGCTGGGCCATATAGTCCACCACGCGGCCTCACTGCAGATTGGCGGACTTCACATATCTTCGAAAAATATTTTTTTTTTTTGTTATTATTTCGAAAATAAAGGTTTCCTCACGACGTTTTCCTTCACCGCGGAGCACGTGATAGCTCAACTCTGAAAATTAACAATTTCTTTGGTACTCAGGTTGCTCGAGTATATTGAATTAAAGGCGAGCGCCCAGACACGGAGCTATCACGGCTATAGATTAAAGCTTATGAAATAAGGTAATAGATTCTTTTACTACTAGATATATGATGGAAATATATAACATCAAACCTGGAGTGTCCCTGATGCTGCATCCTCACCCACAATTTATTCATTTCGGCGAAGTTCATCAGAACAAAGTCGATGGCATCACGTACCTGAAAATTAATTCAATAATGATAATAAAAGTTTTAGAAACAAAATAAAGAATTATATAATACAATAATTTGATATTGTCAGGTTTCAGTACATTGAAAAATGAATAATAATATATGGATAATAATAAATAAATCTCAATGAAATATATGAAATCGGCATAATCTAACTTGAACACTTATTACTAACCCTTTTTTTTTTTTTTTTTTTTTTTTAATAAACAGCTCTTTTCAAAATGTTCAACACTTGAATGAAATATATGTCAACGCAAATACGTGCAATACTTGAAGCAACACGCCAATAAATTGTACACGGACATACAAGCATGTGTTTAGATAAGTCAAAACTTGAAAGCAATAATCGCCTAAACATAATTGCATTGGTGTAAACAAAAGACATTTGCAATTATTTCTTGTCAATACTTGCATTCAATAATCGCATTCAATTTTTTTTTTTACTATATCTGCGTGTAAACTGTTGCTTACAATTCTTGATGGTCAATTATTGCGCGCAATTTATTGCATTCAATTATTGCTCTTGTATGTACAAGAAAATGGCATCGTGTAAATGGGCCTTAATAGATTATCATATAATGTAATAACAGCTGCAAGTTACCGTTCCTTCGTTGTCATTTTGCGCCTCGGCAGTGTCAGGGAGAACATTTCTGGTGCACTGCAGGAGATAGTTCCTCAAGAACAACCCCCGAAGTGGATGCTGCACCCCACGGCACATCTCCACCAAGTCCTGAAAGAGTATGTAATTCTAGTCATTGTGATGAGTATTTTTGACATACTATTCTATATAACATTTTCACTTTTAAATTTAAATGTATATATTAAAAGCGGTAAAAACGGAATCGCTATAGGATCTGATGGTTGTCTGTTTCTTCGTCTATAAAACTATTTGTTCTCAGTAATAGTCCGAGATCTCTAGTTCTGACAAAATTAAATGGTCTATGGTATATGCCGCTTGTAAATTAAAGCTTCTATTCTATATTAAAATCTGTAGGGCACTACTTGTTCACCTAGAATCATGAAATTTAGAAAAACTAAGGGATTACTGAACAAGTAAACGGGAAAATTCGTAAACTGTTTTTTACGTGCTGTATTGATAAAATCAAACAAATTAAAGTAGCTCAACAGATTGTGCTAAGCATTGCTAAAAATTAAAAATTAGATAGTTGTCTAGATTTTCTATTTGATATTGGACGCTTAGCATTGTTGTCTATAGCGTCTGGGCGCGTTACACGGAAGGCAAAGGTTCGAATCTTAACAGCGCCGAAAAAGTTTACAACAATTTATCTAAAAAAACTAACATTCCAATTTATAGTTTCATTCTTGACTGCAGATTACAAATGAAAATAATATAGAACATAACAGAGATCTGTACTCACATTAGTGAACCTACTATATATTATAATTATAAATAAAATAAAAAAAGCCTTTGTATTTACAAAAACAAATACCTAAAAATACATTAAAAAAAAATTTATAATCTACTTTGCTAAATCTTGCTCATAGATAATTAAATACATTTTTAATATTTATCTGCAAGAATCCCTCCTCGCATGAAGGCCTCCTCCAAAGACCACTAAGTATTACTTTTGTACGAATTATTTATCAAAATATTATAATACAAACCTTCATAAGGTCCCTTCTTAAATTCGAGTTGGTTTTGATATAGACAAGGCCAACTGTGATCAGCAAATAGAGTCGAGGTACTATATTCCCTGCATACTGTACAAGCTCATACAAGTCCGCAACCTTCCTACCCTTCTGAAACTCTTCCAGCAGATAGAGCTCCAAGTGTCGCAGTTCATCTGTTATTGCCATATCTGTTTATTTGCATTGCTAAGGACTAAAATTTATTATCAGCTAAATTCATCCTTTTCTCTACACTCAGATGAGACACGCAACTTGCTCAATCCTTTTGTCGACATCAGACATTGACAATTTGTCTCAATCAAGCTGTTTAGTTAAATGTTAGTGCTAATTTTTTGGAATAGTTATACAATCTGCTTAAATTCATATTGTAACTTCTGATTGAACTTCTCATACTAACTTATACATTATACACAACATAATGTCAAGAAATATTGAAATTTGTTTAAAGATGTTTAGAAAAAAGGAATGCATGGTGGCTTCCTTAACCAGATAAAAAAAGTATAATTATCATCATCATTTGAGCCTGTTTGAGTCTACATAGACCTCCCCCACAGACTGTCACTAAGCAAGAGCCACCTTCATCCATGAACTTCCCACACACTTGCACAGGTTGTCACTCCATCCAGTGGGGGTAGTCCTACATTGCAATGGCCAGTATGAACCAATTGAGAACCTTTCTTCCCCATAGTTATCGGTTCTATGAGTAAAATAAGTATAATACTACACAAATGACATATTAATAAATAGCTCCATGGGACATGGATTGGTGGCTGGTAGTTTGTACTTTTAATCCAAGTTGTTGAAGTTCAAAGTTACGATAGGAAGTTAATGCAGCTCCAATTTATTAAAAAAGGATACAAAGCTCATAGTAACTTTTTGGAGATAACAACGAAGTTCTCAACTCTCCCAACATAGTTGATGCATGCTTGAGAGCATCCATCAACTTTGATTTGTCTAGACATCTTTTCATCTGAAATGCCTATAAAAAATTAAACTGCATTAATTATAAATTTTCTTAATCCAATTTCAAATAAATTAAAGAGTAATTATAGTTTAATGTATAAAAATATAACTTTTTATTAAAAATCACGATTTGTCAATCAATCCATTAAAAGATGATCTCATTTTAGGTAGAATAAATTCCGGAATCAACTTTGTGAGTATACTTTACAGAATTTTACTACTTTTTTCCCCTATTTCAATTGATGAAGAAAAGCAGCATAAAAATTATTGAATTCTTTAATTGAATAGTCATCTGACATACCTTACACAATAAGAATGTTAACAAATTTACACATTGAGTAATGAACTCAATTTGGTGTATATATTTCATAACAGATTTATATATATATATATATATGTGTGTAAACATTGTGATAAGGCTAAAAATTATGATAAATATTCAAAATCAATTATTGCCATTTAAGGCAATGATTGATTTTGACTTCATCTTACCTGAACTTGGTACAAATAAGAGAAATTAAAAAAAAATTAATAACATGTATGTAAATTAACCTGGACTTTGACAACATTTAGTGCTTCTTCTAGCAGTTTCTCTTGATCTTCGAACGGAAAGACTACGTTCGTCATTTGTGCCTGAAAAAATACATATTATAATAAAAAATACATAAAAGACAATGTAACTACACTGTATAAATATAAAAGACTACAATACTAAAACAGAAAATCTACGGCAACATACATTCGACCAAATATACAAAAAAGGATGATTATCGGGCTCCATTATACCGTTTAACACTATAAATAAACGGGTAACACACCTGCGATGAATTGTAATAACCAAGGACAAAATGTAAAAGTTTTTGCAGCTGATAACAATGTTTTTAACAAAATTCTTTTTGAGCTGAGATTGTGTGGGTGTTGTTGATTTTTTAATTTGCGGCATTGACAAATTTGTTCCACAGACTATGCGTGTCTTATAGTGTGAGCGTATACATAAATGTCGTAGAAAAATACTTTTTTTGTATTAGTTTAGAACGCTGTTATCCCGGTGGCTTTAACAGCTTCGCTGGAAAAAGTCCACTGGTAAATAATAGTGCATAAAGACGACGAGATTACGAAATTAAAAACAACGTCCGCTCCGCGACATGTCCATAGCTATAGCCTTAGACATAGCGAAACTTTAGTGTCTGAAAAAACCCACATTCACATAGCGCATAAACACTGTATACCAATAAAGAGAAGTACGTAATTTTGACATATAAGCATCTAGAAAAAGGTCAGACACAAACTTCATTCAAGCTAAGCATAAATTATGCTGCCCATGAAAACATACGCCAGTGTCGGTTTCTGATTTAAGGGATTAAAAACAGGTTTCTTAAGCACGCAATGCCGAATTGTACCTTATAAGTAAAAATGATCACTCAGTCCATCTAGTTTAAAGCAGTATCAATAAGAAAGTTCAGGCTTAAGATATTTATTTCGCACCCCTTCGGACCGTTGCATTCGTGACGGCGCCATTCCGTATACAATTAAACAATGATGATGATGATGAATGAACGCGCGTATGATCATCATTTAATCATTTTAATTCATTTGCATCCAACAACATGTCAACGTGAACGCGGAAATAAAGGACCAAATGGGTTAATGACAGAACCACGCTGAGCGCTACATACATCGTGAGATCACCGATTTGCACCTATACATGATATCCTCGTGTACCAGGTTGCGTTTGAATCGCTTACAACGTTTTTTGTTCGTAGATAAATAAACAAAAACCCTCAATGTGCGAAATTCGAAGACGCAGGTTCGAATCCTAGTCTTGTTTGTCTTAAGTGCAGAGACTAGCTCTGTATACCATTATTTTGTTTGTACAAACAATACAATTTAATCTTAAAACGATAAGGTACATGTTATTATTGTAATTTTTGATAGTGAGTTTGTACACGATCGTTCGTTCGTTATTTAAATAGTTAAGAAACTTTTAACTTTCAAAGGTTTTCAAAGATTATTGGTTCGACTACTCTCTCTTTCTAAGTCTCAGTGCCGTGGTAGCTTACCAGGACCCCCCTTATTCAATTCAGTATACTCGAGAAACTTCAATTCTAGTCTCGGCATTTTTTACGGGCCGGTTTATAACGTGCCTAGTGATTAAGAAAAATGTAGGGAGGAAGCCTGCATTTTTTTTTATGTGAAAAGTTGCCAAACGAGCAGACGGTTCACGTGATGGTAAGTGAGTACCGCCGCCCTTGGACATCTGCTACACCAGAGGGTTACAGATGCGTTGACAACCTTTTGAAAATTGGTCTCCGGCTACCTCACTCACCAGACCAAAGTATTTGTTATACTTCCACTCAAGGGCGGATCCAGCTTTGGTGCCAGGGGGGGGTCACATAGTCGTGGTCAAGTGATAAGAAGTTATAATTTATTTTATAATCACAGATAGAAGTAAAAAGTAGGTACTTATTTTTAACCGACTTCAAAAAGAAGGAGGAGACAATTCAGATGTTTATATTTTTTTATGTGGGTATGTTCGGGCATACCTTCGTCATATATAGACGGATTTGCAAAATTCTGTTCTGCTCATACATAGCGTTGATTTTTATTATCATATATTATATAGGTTGGCTTTTATAAAGGTGCCCAAATTCACACCGGAGGTTCAGGCTCGGTAATATAATCGTTTATAGAAATAAAAACAAACTTTTTTTTAAAAAAATTGGCATTCTATTTCCTAAAAACAACAACAAACTTCTTGACAATGCGGTAGTCATTCATAAATGCGTCTACTTTTGAAACGAAATTGTGTGCGTGTTAGTTATGAATGATCGCGCGTAAAATAAATGAGTTGCCCATAAATCACGCACTTTCTGAGATAAGTTCAAATGAATGTAATTAATTAATTATGAGTGATTTTAAATATTTAACATTTTTATATAACTTTATTTATGTTTAAAATTTAATAAAAAAAATGGATACACTTTGGAAAGCCACCCCATATAGTATTTTTTAAAGTAGCTATTGGTAGGTTTACTTATTTTTGGAATTTCTTTTATTTATTTCTTCGTTAACAGATTTTATATAGTCATGTTGGTTATAATATTCTTTATTCCTCTACTCCGCACGCTGGCTCTACTTCAATGACAAGTAGCCTGAGACTAAAGGGACACGGGTTGATAATAATATATAATCAACCCAAATGAAAACTCCTAAAATAGCCGTACACAAAATAAAATTACATCGTCCACATTAAAAATGTTCATAAATAACAAAAAAAATATTTATTCAGTCATTCATTCATTTATTCATTCATAATATTCAGCGCTTATAATCCATATAATCAAAGACAGAATCCACATTCATAACAAACGGAAAGAACAATCTTTATTTCCCAAAGATGGTCTCGCATACTCACGTCCACCAAACCACCACATCTCACCACACATCAAAAACGGTCCACCCACTAAGACGAATCAAACTCGACGCAGTTATGTTATTTAATTACTGAGTTCCTATGGCCACATGCCAGCTCTGTCATCAGACCCTGGTTACCATCTAGCACCAAAGAACTCGTCATGACGAATCAAACGAGCCGAGACGCAATAGAGTTGCGTCGTTTCTTTACTGAATTCATATGACTATCTTCCAGCTCCATCATCAGATCAGACCCTGGTAACCATCTAAAAATTAAGAACTCGCCAAGACGAATCAAACGAACCGAATCTCTATGGGGTTGAGTCGTTTCATTACAGAGTAGTCATAGGAACGTCACAGAATAGCCTCATAGATCGGCTTAAAGTACTTCTGCGATTTGTGGTCTTGAGTTCCAGTAGCCGGAACCCACTTTATTATAAGGAGAAAACGCATCTGCAACCCTATGCACATGGAGAAGATGGAGCTCCTCATCAGATCGGCTTAAAGTACTTCTGCGATTTGTCTGGTGAGTTCCTCACTCAAGAGATACATTTTTCTCCGGCTCTCGCTACCTAGCCGGAACCCACTTTATTATAAGGAGAAAACGCATCTGCAACCCTATGCATATGTCCATGGACGGGTGAAGATGGAGCTCCATCATCAGATCGTGGTTACCAATGAAAGACAAACTACTCATTAATACGATTCAAATGTACCCAAACGCGATGAGGCTCTGTGGTTTCATTTCGAAGTTCCTTTGGCCTTCTTCCAGCTCCATCATCAGATCAGCACCATGTCACAAATATATTGGATTGTCGCGATTTACACATGTATACAAAATTGTAGCTCAACCAGTAACCGGGAAGTAGATCAAATTTAATTTGCAAGATTTGATTTGATGATTTAACATTACAATTTTTTTTTTTGATAAACATTGCCCTCACTTTAGGATAACATTATCCTGTATTGTAAGGACGTTTTACAAACATAAATTGCACGAGGACAAACATCCAGATGCGAAACAACTATCTGTGGACAGCACACATAGTTGTCCCGTGTGGGAATCGAACCCACGACCCCCGACGCCGAAGCCAAAATCTTGGCCAACTGCGCCACGGAGTCATCAAAATATTGTAAAAATGTGAATAAAATAAAAACTACTTGGCAAAACTATGGTAAATTTTTATGGGACCAAATGGCAACTATTCTGCATCAAACTAAAGAAGAATCACGGAAATCGTATCAAATTTCAACGTAATCGGTGTACATACATCGAAAAAAATATACCAATCGAATTGAGAAAATCCTTCTTTTGAAGTCGGTTAAAAATATTATATTATTTTAATTAAATATTGAAGGGACTTACATAAAATCTATATATGTGTGCAAAAAATATATAAAAAACATTATGTTATACAATTTTAATTAGTGGTCCACCTAGGTACTGAACCCAGCCCAGGGGGGGGGGGGGTCATGACCCCCATGACCCCCCCCCTGGATCCGCCCTTGCTTCTACTTTACGGCGGCCTTCTGTGAGGTCGTGGTACTTACCCGGACGGGCCTGCCCATTAGTGGTTTTGACAATGATATTATGGGTATATTCATTGGGTTTGGTTTATTAACGATTGGTTCGACGATGGTGATTAATCGCATTTTTACCTTATTCCTTACTCTCGCTATCTACTCTAATTCTGTCTATTTGCTCTCGTTTCCACTATCAATCACGGTCCAAGCAGAGGTTCAACTTCAAATGTCCATTTGAGGGCTCTTGAATAGTCGAATTCAACTAACGAGGGTTTGTTCTCCCCCTTGTTAGCTGATTTATCCAACTTTCTTCATTTCATTATTTCGCCTCAGCGCGCAGGCTTTCTCTCAGACCAGACCTCATCTCTTATGAAGAAGCTGTATCTTCAATGCCGAAGGCAGTATATTTACACGTAAAAAAAAGATGTTGTCACTTTGACTTGACATATTTAGAATTATTTAGTCTGTTTTTAAATAAACAATATTATCATTTCTGAATTCTGATAAAGTGAGTACATAGTAGGTACATAACATAGATGTAAATAATAATTATGGATAACAAACCATCATTGAGTCAGTATTTTAGTAGTTCGGAAGTGCCGCCCGCTTCGCAGTTTTTCGACGAAATTGGAACATCACCGTCTGAGATGATTCAAAGCGTTTATCTTGGGGAAAATGAAGGTCCGCTTACGAACTTACTTTGATATTGACATTATTTACCTTTACTAATGTTAATTATGAATCTTTTATAGTGAACACCACAACGGGCACTAATCTTTTCTCCCAAAATGTGAGCGCAACACTTACCCAGCAAAAGAATTCTCAAGAGACGACTTTCACTAATGTTTTGCCTACTGTTAGTGGATCATCTGCAATCCCAGCAACAAGCCTGCCCGATCCATCAACATTCTTCGATACAATTGGTCCTGAACCACAGATAGGTTCTAATAAAAGCGGAATGGCAACTCCAGCTATACTAACTGAGGCAATGGATGGATTAAGTATTAAGGTAATTTCATTACCTTTTAATATAGTAAGGTAATTATTATGGAATATTGCAAGAGAGGATTGTCTGTTTCAGTTTAGTGTATGAAACTCAATACATGTAAAACAAAATATTTATGAACTATTATAATGACAAGAATTTTTATGCATAATTTTATCCATTAAAGTGAGTCACATGAAAGACCACAATAATGGTGATATGAAGGAGTATGGCCTTTTGCTGAAATTTTTGTTTAAATTTGAAAAGTCTAAATATCTAAGGTCTATTGATGTTCTTGTTTTGTCCAGAAAGAAATCTAAAAACTCACTTTTGTCTTATAACAATTTCGTTATTCATATTTTCCACAGAACCAACCAGTTGACAAAGAAGCAGAGAGGCGAAGAGATGCTTGGATACCAACTGAGGAAGCTAAGAAAACTTTGCTGAAGGTGCTGGAAAATTTCCTTCAATTATTAGAGTTTTGAACATAATAACAAATAACAAGATAAACAAATCTGTGTCATTTGGACAGACACCGATAGCAAATACAATCGCTATTTAGCCCCCAAATGTGACAGATGTTAAGCTATTAAAATGCCAACTGAGCATAACTTTCAGACAGTGATTTATGGCGCATGTTTTGAGATTCTAATCAAAGTCATATCCCAATCACTGCCTATAAACATATTTCAATGTTCATCATATAGAACCAATTTTTCAATTTGTATCCATATATTGTAATTGAGGAGCTACATAGTGGGCTATGCTCTGTATATTATATAGAACGCAGGCTACCATTAGTTTAGAGGATTGTAAAGCTGAATCGGCAAGGGGCTGACCATATAACTCAAAATACGGGTAACTAATGGAGGAAGAAAAGCTCTCTAGTGGAAAACTAGTATTGGCAATCATAGTCTAGGAAGACCCCACACTAGATAGAGTGACGACCTGAGCAAATGTGCAGGATGTCTGTGGCTCAGGATCATGCTTTATGATGTTAGTCTTTGGGAAAGGCCTTTTTCCAATTAAAAAAAAACCTATGTCTTCTCGGGCTCTAGACTATCTGTGTACCTTAAATTCTGTGTACCCTAAATTACATTTAAATCAGTTCAGTAGTTTTTCACTGAAAGCGAGTCAGACAGAGTTCCTTTCGCATTTATAATATTAGTATGGATTATCAAAAGCCTTACCCTTTTTTTATATTGTTTAAACCAGTTAAAAATTTTTATCTGAAATTACAGTTTTTCTTAAAGTTTTTGGAGTATCCAGGTACATAAAAATGCATCAACATAACATATAGCATAACATATAGATTCAGTCAGATTAAATGTAAGTTTATACTTTTTGCATGTGTAAACCAGCATTTTATAGGCCTTGATATTAATAGAGCTTTGAAAGTTGATATGGCTAAAACGGAAAATATACAAACACATTGACAAAGAAACAAATATTAATTAATTGTGATCATTGCAGGCCCAGTCATCACCAAAAGGTTCATTTTTTCCCGAAAGAGAAGTACTCACTATGCCTGGCTTGGTACTAGAAGAGGAGTTGGTGAGTTACATTTCTTAAATAAAACTATAAACACTGTAGTCCATATGAATGAAATATTTTTATTTTCATATTTAATAAGATAAATAAGGCCAGAATTGTGTCTTAACTTCAATAAAAATACTACTACTACAACTCTGAGTTAAAAGTACAAGTTTATCACACACAGTTTTTAAAACTGGGTTATTAAATCGAATGTAATTGCACCACAGGTCCTAGAATATGCATATAAATTGTTGAATACAATTTTTTTTACATATTCTAAGAATAAAACTGTTATGTGTCGTTAATTTATATATTACTTAACAAAATGAAATATTTTTTTTTATAAAAACACATTGCCCTTACTTTAGGATAACATTCTCCTGTGTTGTAAGGATGTTTTACAAACATAAATTTCACGTGGACAAACATCCAGATGCGAATTAATTAATTTTAAAATTTAAAATTAAAAATTCGAATTGAAATGATAAGCACAAGATTAATTTTGAAACGGTGTTTTTGGATAATTAATACAGGCAGACGCCCTGCAAGAGGTTGCTGTGAAATACCTTGGTGTGAGCTCTGCAGGCAGCCGAGGTGTGGTGAGGGCTGAGCATGTGAGCAGGGACGAAGCCGGTCTTAGAGAGCTGCTCCGGACCGGATACCTCAGAGCAGCAGTGAACCTCACGGCCACTTTGCTTACCGCAGCCGGCCAAGGTAGGTGACATTCCAATAGACCACGTTTAGCACAACTTAATATAGTATAGTTTTACATAAGCTACTGAACACATCTTAAATAAGTAACCTTACTATTTAAAACCTGAAAATCGTCTGCGTCCTCTGGCGATAAACCATCAAATAAAAGAAAAAAAAGGTTGTTCATGACTACTTTGAGTTTGATGAAGGAAGTATAAATAGAACCGGATGAAGAAAGAATAATATAGACTATAATTTATCAACTGAAGAAAACTTACTTGCTGTAACCCATGCAGACGTCACTAGATCCTTCCTCGAACTATAAAAAATAAAAACCTCAAAATTAAATATACGAGGAGCATTAATTTAAAAACCTTTGTAGTTTTCTTTATTCATTGATTGTAAGAAATTAAATTTAATTTGAAGTTAATACCGTATCATAAGTTTTCTTACGCCAATATTACACACCATCATAACTTGATCAAGATGTGTGTGAATAAGTTATATCCTTTCTTTAAATTAAATTCTTTTCTTCCTTGTTTAAGAAACGCGTATTGGATTTGTGTGCACTTTGAGAACATCTGAGGAATTGTGATAGACAGATATCTAAGATAGGAATAGAGACTCCCTCGTATTGAATCGAAATGGATGTCGTCGTTTTTCGTTGTACCTTTAATAACTCCCGATGTTTCTAATTCATCTTAGTATCCCTGGATAGTAATTAATAGTAACAAATAAATATTCGCGACATAATAATAACTTTAACACTTCTGCTTATAAATTTTAAAGTTTTTTATAGTGCTAATCTCTGCACTTAAGATTGAACATTAAAACATGTAGAAAAAGTAAGTAAAAATTGTCGCCGCTGTGGGAATCGAACCCACTCTGACTCGAGACGCTCTAGCCACTGAAATAAACGGCTGATAGCCACAGCGACGAAAATCTTAACGTCTTCTTTCTACATTGCTATTTAGCATTTGAAGCAATGCTTGGCGCATCCATTGTTATATCCTTTCCAGCATACAAACAATTTCGAATATCGTTTTACAACGATAATTCGAACGAGAATAAACTAATAAACTTCTGCTTATGCTGGTGTGTCTGTGTTTGAATTATTTTTTATGAATTGTAGTTTAAATTATTAGACTACGATTTGTCACCAAACCGCAGCCTTTACTCGATAAAAATAAACAGTGTAATGTAGTTAGTTGTTACTGACAAGTAGATATGCAGCTATATTAGACAAACGATATCGCGATGCAATATGTTTGCAGCGACATCTATCTTAGGTTAAATAATTAATGAGATCGCGTCATTGAACCAACTACCCTCAAAAAATATTGTTATTATGTGTGTGGATGTATTTAAAGTAAACAATTTTGTACGAGCAACATGACATGTATTGTTTTTAATTATTTCTTAACGATTTTAAAGAAGAGTAATTTATGAAGAAATTTTAAAGAAGAGAAGAGAAGGCAATTAGGTTGTTTGAATAACAGTTGAAAGTGTAGTGAAAATTCGTTAAAAATATCATAAACGTATAATATATCAATTAGTGCCCGTCCTTTTCTTGCTCTTTATACGCATTTGAGCAGAGTAAAAAAGAATGTATGAAGTTTCTTTTTAAGACTGGAGTTGGTTAAAATTGAGTTTCCTGTGTCATACTGTGAATCTTCACTACATACTATAAAACAAAGTCGTCCCACTGTCTGTCTGTCCATATGTATGCTTAGATCTTTAAAACTACGCAACCGATCCTGATGCGTTTTTTACTACATAGAGCGATTTAAGAGAAAGGTTTATATGTATAATACATTGCACCCGTGCTAAGCCGGGGCGGGTCGCGAGTAAGTTCATAAAATGCTAAAGATAAAAAATATGTTCTACAAACTAATAGAGGTATAAAGCGCGATATTTTCTCAATTTATGTTTATTTTTAAAATATATTGTATAATAATGTAATCCTTGTACTATAAGCAAGGACGGCTAACAAGGAAGGATGGACGGGCACTAAGTGATATAGCAGGACTTAATTTTACAAGGAGTAAATTTTATAAAAATATAAAATTAATCATATAAAAAATCGTAAATAACTGATTTACAATTTTTTTTTATTTTCAACCGATTTCAAAGCGAAGGACATTCTCAATTTGGTTGTGTCTTCTTTTATTATTTTCATTTTTTATTTATTTTTGTGAGAAGGTGGCAAACGGTTCTGAGTGGTAGGGCCACGCACCAGCTTCGGCTGTTGCACGAATGGGCAGGTCCCTCCGGGTAAGTACCACGACCTCAAAGAAGGCCAGCGTCAAGTGGGAGTGTTATACTTCTGCGTTTCGTCTGGTTAGGGAGGTAGCCGGGTCCCACTCTATTAAAAGGTGGCAATGCATCTGCAACCACGCGAGTGTTTCAAATATCCATGGTCGGCCATTATCACTTAACATCAGGTCCAGCTCGCTTGCCACCTTCTCACATAAGAATTACCTTTACTATTTAACACCCATAGATACGATGCTACCTTTTAATAACGTGAGCCCCGGCTACCACGCTCACCAGACGAAATGCAGAAGTTTTTTTTTAATGTAATCGCCTTCCTCTAATCCATCGAAGGCATACAGCATGCTTCCGAGCGTGTCGCACATGCGTCTAGCGTATGCTTCCAGGCGTCGGTCGGATGCACCGTCCGACGAAGCATACGCCGCGCTCCCTCCAGCTATGGCTGACCAGGTTTGCGGTGATGCTGCGAATAAAGCTGCACGATCCACTCCTGAAGGAGGTCGAACCTTTCGGGGACCTCAGCAAGCCTGACATGTTCTACCAGGTGCCCATAATAATAAATATTTTAGGACACATTTTTACACAACGTTCTCTAGTCCCAAACTAAGCAACGCTTGTACTATGGGCACTAGATAACTGGTAAACATACTTTTCTTTTGTAAATAAATAGATATTATACATATATATAAACAACCAGACACTAGAAAAACACTATGTTCATAACACATTATTTTTCCAGTAGTGGGGATCGAACCCACACACTACGCCAGTCGGGTTGTCTAAAGTTTTTTTTAACGTTGTTTCGACGACCTTACTGCAGAATGACATTATCCTGTGTTGTAAGAGCATTTTACAAACATAAATTACATGCGGACAAACATCCAGATGCGACACAACTATCTTTTTCTCTATTTTTTTTATGTGAAAAGTTGCCAAGCGAACAGGTGGTTCACCTGATGTGAAGTGAATACCACCGTCCATGGACATCTGCTACACCCAAGGGTTATCAGATGCGTTGACAACCTTTTGAAAATTGGGCTCCGGCTACCTCACTTTCACTCACCAGACGAAATGCGAAATTAATAGTCATACTTCCACTTTACGTCTTCTGTGAGGTCGTGGTACTTACCCGGATGAGCCTGCCCTTACGTGCAACAGCCGAGGCTACTGCGTGGCCCTGCCATCGTTAAAAACTTCACACAAATACTGGTCCCGTGTGTGAATCGAACCCACGACCCTCGACGCCGGAGCCAATACCTTGACAACTGCGCCACGGAGTCATCAAGTTTCAACGCCTTCTACCTTTCGTCCGCATGTTGTTTCGAAAGACTTAAAGGGATAAAAAGGAGATGTTTGAAGTTATACTTATGAGAAGAAATTATGAGAGGGAAATTTTTACGATGCGCGCGCACCGCGACGGCCAAAAACGCGACGAGACATGGCAACCGTTAACAGGTTTTTAAAATTTACCTATAATCCTAAGTTATTTAATTAAACCGTTATTAACGGCGTTTAATGTTTTTTCCACAAAATAAAAGAGTACTGCGACAGGGTATAAAATTTTTAATTATCTTCTAAAGAAGTATAACTTCTCGCGTCCGTAAAATATGCAGGTTACCTTACGATGTTTTCTGTGACCGCTGGGAACGTGATAAGTCAGCATTTAAAATTAACAATTTCATTGGTGTCGGCACCGGGGATCGAACTCGGGTTGCTCGACTATATTGAATAAAGGCGAGCGCCCGGACACTGAGCTATCACGGCTCATAATTACTTTGTAACTCTGACTTTCCTGCCGTTTTCCGTAATCGAGAGCTGTAATGCAAGGTTAAAAGGAGTCAGTACACAGCATTTCAGGCACCGGCCGTGGTAAATTGTACGTTCCATCGTCACTTTTAACGTGTTAATCTTAGTTTAGTTTGTTATTTATAATTTTAATTTTAGGTTTGTACTGAAAATCTGGAAATTGTACCGAGTACATACCTATTTACGGTTTCGTGTCCTAAATATATGTTCTCTTAATTGTTAACACAACTGTGTTTGTTTTCGAAACTAAATGAATATTCATTCATTCATCCAATCGCTTTTCAGTTCTACCCGGACTCGTACGAGAATCGAACTGGCTCGCTGGTGCCGTTCTCGCTGAGGCTGCTCATCGCCGAGCTGCCGGGGCACGTTGGGAAACCCGAAGAAGCGACGGACAGGCTTTATACGATGTTGGACGTCATACAGAAGGTGAGTGAGTACTCTTAAAGAAGTAAAGTAACAGCCTATTAATGTCCCAATGCTGGGCAAAGGCCTCCTCTGTTAGAGGGTATCAGGGCATAGTCCACCGCGCTGCCCCACTGCGGATTGGCTTCACATATTTTTTATTTCGAAAATATTTCATTTTGTTATTTCTAAAAAACGCAGGTTTCCTCACGATGCTTTCCTTCACAACTTAGCACGTGATAAGTCAACACTTAAATTAATAATTTCATTGGTGCCGGCACCGGGGTTTTGGACTCAGGTTGCTTGAGTATACTGAATTAATAGCGAACGCCTGGAAAATGAGCTATCACGGCTGCCACCTATGGACATGGCAACACCTGGTGTACAGCGTGTCTTTACAATCGCGACAATAAATGAACGCACATATAGGGGATAACTTTGTAAAATTGTATTAAATATTTACATTCTTTAAACATCAATATTTACAGAGTTATTAAATTTTCCAAAACAAAGAATTTAGAACCCTTACGTGTAAAACTGTAACGTAAAGATCATTTGTAAAGCTCACAAAGCATATGAATGGGTTGAATGAATTTAAAAGAGACAAAACATACTGTTAGAAGGAGAGGCTTGTAATGCGACGCTGTGGCGCGAGTTGTATAGGATGTTACACATTTTGTTTCTTTTTTAATTAATTAGTTTGTTTGAAAAATATTTTTTTTAATTATGGATTTTGTTTAACGTTAATATTTTTTATGATTATTGGCAAGTAGCGTTAGACGTGTGTTAATTTATTGTCGCGATGGTAACGACACGCTGTATAAGTGTAGCAATAACAGCGATATTAATCCATAACTTGGTGCCGCCCTTGCTAAGCTATTGGCTTCGGCGTCGGAGCTCGTAGGTTCGATTCCTACGAGGTACAAGTATTTGTGTGGCCCACGGATAATTTTGTGAAAACGATATGGGTGTTTTGCCACCCAAGGGTTTCACGTCAGGCAGGTGGTCGTAAAAAACGTACGGTGGTAGGGCCACGCAGCAGCCTCGGCTGTTGCACGAATGGGCAGGTCCGTCCGGGTAAGTACCACGATCTCACATAAGACCAGCGTCAAGGGGAAGTATGACAAATACTTTCGCGTTTCGTCTAGTGAGTGAGGTAGCCGGAGCCCAATTTTCAAAAGGTTGTCAACGCCTCTGTAACCCTCGGGTGTAGCGGATGTCCATGGGCGGCGGTATTCACTTACCACCGGGTGAACCGTCTGCTCGTTTGACAATTATTCACATAAAAAAAAAACGTAGCCAAAGCCGCTTACAACATGATTCACATGACGCGCCGACCCCACCTAGGTGCGATAAGGGCAGGAGGATGATTATGATGATTAACCCATAGGTATTCCTCGAGCATAGATCCTGACGTGTGGGATAAGAGCAGGACGATGACGATGATAATTAACCCATAGTTATTCCCCGAGCACAGATCCTGTCGTGTGGGACAGGGGCAGGATGATGATGGCGAATTATCCATAGTTATTCCGCCATCACAGATAGTGTCGAGTGGGGTAAGTTTACCTTATTCCACTCGACAAGATGAGAATGAAGAGCGGCGGTTATCACTTAAAATCACGTGAAACCACATGAAACAAAATCACATGAAAGGCCAGCTCGTTTGCCACCTTGTCCAAAAAAAATTTGTTATGACGTATGACGATGATGAGTTATGATGATGATGATTAACCCATAGTTATTCCGCGAGCACAGATCTCGACGAATGGGATAAAGGCAGGATGATGATGATGGTGATCATCACGAATATGATCATGATAACGATGATGATGATCATGACGGTGATGGTGATCATCATGAATATGATCATGATAACGATGATGATGATCATGACGGTGATGGTGAATTATCCGTAGTTATTCCGCGGTCACAGATCCTGTCGAACCTGCAACAGGGCAAAACGGAGGACGGCACGGCCACTTTCACCTCCGAACAGGACAGGGCTGAGTCCATTCGCCTCTGGAGCGGCCGCCAGACTAGAGTCCTCCACTCGATCGTCAACTGCGCCATTGCCCTGAAGGTGAGGTCACCAGCTCGCGTTTCTTTAAGTCAAATTTCTCCATTCAATACAGGCTGTATAATACAGGCTTCTACGATACTTATTAGATATAAAATACATTTACTTATTGTCTACTAGCGAACCGCCCGGCTTCGCACGGGTGCAATTTATCACTAGATCTTTAATACTACGCAATCGGTCGATCTTGATGCGGTTTTTTTTTTACTAGATAGAGTGATTCAAGGGGAATTATATGTATAATAAATTGCACCGCTTGCAATGAATTGGGTCGCTAGTACGATAAATAAAACCGTTTAAAAACTTTTAAGTTAAACGGTTTTATTTTCTGTTTTTTTTTTGTGCACTGAAAACTACAATATTGTATTGTCATCTAAATTAAACGTGTGTACCAAATTTCAGATCAATCTGACAACGGGAAGGTGCTTAAATTTCAATTTCTAATTTTGACCCAAATAAACAAATAAATTCCGTACGTGTCGTGCTAAATAAAACCGTTTAAAAACGATAACTGTTAATCGTTTTTCAAGCTCGATAGTGTTATAACTACGTTACCCAGGACTATCGGATGGCCAGCAATATCCTGGTCTCCTTACGGAAGGGGGCCACGACCCCCGCCCAGAATAGAGCGCTCTCCAGCGCCCTCTGCCGCCTCTGGCTATTGGCCGGCCACGTGAAGGCCGCTGCGGCGTATCTAGATGAAGCCAAGGAAGCGCGCCAGCATCTGTGAGTAGCAACAAACCATGAACAACACAGAAACACGCTCACAACAAACCCGGAACAGCACGATTTTTTTATGTGACAAAGTGGCAAACGAGCTGGCGGTTTATAGTGATAATGCCCACCCATTTGCAACACCCGTGTGGTTGCAGGCGACAACAGAACAGTAATAGCCCCTTACTGGAGGGTGTGAAGTTACAAGCCACATATTAAGATTTGTAGAAGAAATGGACGAAAAACTGCGCCGCTGCGCGAATCGAACCCGCGTCTCACAGGTTCGCACCCATATGTTGGCGTTTAAGGCGTCTGGGTGCGGATTGTTGTTGTAAAACGATATTTGAAACTGTTTGTGTGCTTTAAAGGGCTTAGCGATAGATACTCCGAGCAATCTTAAAGATGACGAAACAAATACAATGTTTTTTTTTTTTTATGAGAAGGCACCTGATGTTGAGTGATAATCGCCGCCCATTGACTGTTTAAATACAGTGGGCCCCGGCTACTTGACTCACTAGACGTAACGCAGAAGTATAACACCTCCACTTCACCTCCAGTCAGATAATAGCTACCGATCGAGCAACAGCCCGGGTATCGAGTGACAGCCCAAGCCGAGGTCCCCTCTCGGGGGCCCTTGGGCCTAGTCACTCCATGGAGCGTATGCCAAAGCGCTCTAAGAGCTTGCCGGCCTCCCAAACCGGTGAAAATAATAGCGTGACGGCCCGAGCCGAGGCTCCCTCGGGAGCCCTCGAGCTTAGTCACCATAACGCGTAATAATAACACGCCGAGGTTCAGGCTAAGCGCCCCGAGCGCCAGGCCACCTCAAGTCCGGCGGAACTGTGAAGGCCCCCGCCAACAGAGGCTCATCAAACCCAAAAAAATGTTTAAATTTGAAAAAATAATCACGCCGGGTACTTACCCGAACGGAGCTGCCCATTCGTGCAACAGCGGAGACTGTCGCGTGGCCCTAGCACAGTAAGCGGCAAGGCTCGTGCTCTGGTCGGTGGTGGTTGACCAAGTCGTTTGCCTCGTCAGCTGCCCTACGGCCGACGTGCGGGAATACGTGGACCTTGGTCTATTGGACGTGGCGCACGGCAAGTACCACGAGGGTTATGGCAACTTCGCGAGGGCCGCCGACCAGGAGCCCACCAACATTATGGTGAGTAGAAAATAACATCCCCCCCCCCCCTCCTCAATTCAAATTTGTGCTTGTTCCTTCTATCAGCGGGGATGGATCGATGCACGTGGGTCAGGATCGTGCTTCGTGGCGGTCTGTGGGTGTGTATATTCAGCGGTGGACTCAAACATGCTGATATGATGAAGACGATGATGAATCATCACTTAAAATTACAATTAACAGTTTAACTGGTGCCGGCACTCAAAAAAATATTCTAGCGTCTGGATACTGAGCTATCTTTTCTAGCCGTTCCACTTGCCCCGGTCAAACTCAACTGGTCCCGTATGAATTATCAGGTGGCGAACAACCTTGCGGTGTGCCTCCTATACATGGGCCGACTGAAGGAGGCGATAGCGGTGCTCCAGAAGGCGATAAACTCTGACCCCGAGAGGGGCCTCAACGAGAGCCTCCTAGTAAACCTCTGCACCCTCTACGAGCTGGAGTCGTCCAAGACCAACGAGAAGAAACTCAACCTGCTACGGATGCTGTGCAAACACAAAAGCGACACCATACCCAATGTTTTAGAGTGCTTAAAGCTCAGCTAGACAGCTCGGAATCAAATCAAATTCATATCATTTATTCATCAAAGTAAAAAAATATAAATTGCATCTATCGATAGCCATTTTTTAAATCTACCACTGTTCATAATGAGGTTCCTCTAAAGGAGAAGAAACAGGCGAAAGAAACTCCGTAGGTATCCTCTTTTAATTTTTCACTCGTTCCTGGCTAAGTATTCTTAACCGAAGCTGGTATACTTGTTGTTCTTAGCAGGTCGCAAATTGGTCTTTTGTTGAACTATTTAAAGTATTTGCTGAGTTAACATATCATGCTTTGTTTTGTTAGTGCCTATGTTATTTATTACCTATTAAATGAAATGGGATATATTTTTTTGTTTTAATGTATAAACCCATGTTTCTAGTTAATTATTGAATTATTAGTTATTATTCTCATAATTCAATAATTATCTAGTAACATAAACTAGTACATTGGTACTATACACAGAAAATTAAAGTGTTCTGTAATATACATGTACCTACATAAATCTACTTTATAGTTTTCTGTGGCGGGATAAAACAGCAGCTTCTTAAATTGGCCAGGCTCAGCTGGAGAAAAACAAAGGCCTCAGATGACCCTACATAGAACACTTTTAATTTATTCTCATATGGTAATCGAGTTAAGCTCGACTTACCTTTTTTAAACATTGGTCCAGCTTAATTGCACAAAATGGACCCATATTATGGACCCTGAAAGACTTTTCCATCAGTGGTAATCATTCATCTGATTATTTACTACTTACTTTCATAATAAAAATGTTTATAATAAGTTTAACTTTTTTTTTATAATTTGCGTTTGTTCAAAAGCAAAGACAATCAGTTACACAAATCAAATAAAACGGTCGTTTACACAAAATTTAGTATGAAATGGAGGCAAATAAAAAAAAAACCAAGATGTAATTAAATATTTATTTACAATAATTACAAAATTACAAACAATCCATATCTTAATTACAACTTGTAACTAATATATACATTGACTTTTTATAAATAAAGTGCTGGCAAAATTATATGTATAGAAAAAAAAGAGTTAAGTGAACTTTGGAACCCTATGTAACTAGGCACAGATAATTTATGAAATACAGCAAATAAAAGCACTTTTTTTTTTTTTAATTTAAATGCATTCAATATTGTGAACCTTGAAATTATTGCAGATTTGCTCTACAAATAAGTGTTTTTATGAATTTAAGATTTGCCAAGGGAGGTAGCATATCTTTACAGAAAACTGGCGTAACAAATTAGGGCCCACACTTACAAAATTTTGAAACAGTTGCCTACAAATATAGATGTCCATGGGTGGCGGTCATCACTCAACAACACGTAAATCACCTTCCTACCACTGTATATTATAAATGTTTTTCTGGTATAAAATTTTGCAAGAACCTTGCTATATATACCTCTTATAGTGCCTGTCAAATTAAAAAGAAAAGAAACACAACCAAAGATTCACACCCGGTTTCTAAAACACTAACCAAAGAGTTTAACAATCCTTTTGGGAACTCAAATAACATTTGAAAATCCATTTGACAGCTGATTAGTTTTGTTCTACAATCAGTGTTCCAGAAACTGGGTGGTATTATGTCTAATTATAATAATTTTATTAAGTCAAATTAAAGTAATGTTCTGAAATACTGGCTACTATTTCTGACCGTCTAAGGCTAATTTAAAAATTACAATAATTGTTAAGTGCTACAGTTGTCAAGCTCTAACCAGTTTGAACAAAATATTGGTTCGACAATTATAAATATTGCATTTATAAAGAGCTATTAATTTTAGGACTCTTCTTAGTTTTACTGTAAGAATACACTAAAGTTTAAAATTAATTTTCCAGTTTTTAATATAACTGTTTGATAGTGTGAATACATAAAGTTTTCCTGTGGTCTGCAAATGAAAAGAATTTTGACACTGCTTTCTTTCAGTCTTCCTGGAATTCATACACCACTCAGATACTCTGACCACTAAATTATGGAAGATTTTGTGGCTATACTTCTTTCATTTATGTTATCAGTTTTTTATGTTTTAAGAAAAAAGGTTAAGTGGTTTTTTCATAAATTGAGGGCCAAATACCTTTAAGGTTAAGAATGTAAATTTTGAAACACAAGGTTGCTTAGCAGAGTCTGTTGTTTAACAATAATTTTGAAATTTTTTATTAAAACATTAGTAATATTTTAAAAAGCTTCTTTAGCGTCCTTAAACAAATAAAAAAATTGTCACAGATAATATGCTGTCGAGATTAGAAATTGTTACCAAAATTTCTAATTTATACCGCATATTCACATGAAACATGACTTATGATGTATGTACAACAACAATATCACCATCAAGTTATCGCTGGTCTTCCAAACCATTGGCTAACTTTCATAAATCAACTTTGGCGCCAATGCTGCTTAGCGGTATGGCTTGTAGCTCGGTCCGTAGGCACAGAAACTCCCCTGTAACACATGTGATGGCTGCGCAGGCAATGTTAAGGCTCCACCAGGAGAATGTTGTTGGGAATGAACCATTGTACACCCAGCAGGCAAGTAAATGTAACCCATGGAAGGTGCAACTGTAATTAAACATATTGTTTTATACAAAAACATGTTCATATAATAACCAGATCAATAATGGGAGTTCATCTTGTTCTTGTTACAGTCATTTGGACTTGAAATGGAAGTTTAATTTCCACAATAGAAGTTATATGTTATATAATCAATCTTCAACTAACCTAATGGCTCACTTGGCTAGTCACAAGGATTGATACATAAATAGATAACTATTTAGTACATCAGAAGGTATACTGAACATAAAATGTTCAATGTATGTTAACAAGTACCTATTAGATAGTCAGTCATGATATATTTAATTGATCTAAAGGAAATTTTATTTAATTCTTATAAGAAAACAGTCTTTAAATGTGTCTTAAACTCCAAACATGGAAAACATTAGCAACTTATAATGTGAATATTAACAGTTTACTTGTGAAAACATGGTTCTACAATGCAATCAAATGTTATAGTTTTTTATGTAAAAAGGTGGCAATTTCAACAAAATTTCAATGTTAAGTAATAACCATTACCATGGTTGTCACCTTTTTAAAAAAGGCTCCAGTTACCTCACTCACCAGATGAAACATAGAAGTGTAATACTTCTACCACATGCCAAATGATTTTTGCTCCAAAATAGTGTATTTGTACATGTATACATTAATCTGATATAATTTGCACAAAATTTATTTATTAGAAGACTTACCTAAAGTCAAGGCACAACTTTGTTCTGCCTACAACATTCCAAAGAATTAGTGCTCCAATAATTGCATTGAGCACAAATGCTATTATTACAGAGCGTCCCTCATTGTCCCGTACATGAATTTCCTAAAAAAATAATTTAATGGTAAATGTTTTATTCATTCTTGTCATTGTTTCTTTTCTTAGTTATGTTTGATATTGTGATTACACACAATTCATTCAGCAACTAGAAAAATGTAGAATGGATAGGGTTATTTTGTCCTTAAAGTAGTTTCAGGATCTATCATAGCTACATTAGTATACCCAGCATGAAATGCTGCTTTAAAGTGCAATATTTATAGTTTTTTAGTTCTGATTGCAATGGGATAAATACTAACATGATACTCAAATATATGGTCCAATGTGCGAGTAGATCCTGTTAAATCTTGCATTATAGCGATGAGGAGGCACAATGTGAGGTAGAGTAGGAACTGCATTGCCACTATTTGGGACACAATTAAGCACGGGTCCCAATGCGTATAGCGGAAAGAGCCTGTTAGTTTCTTTATTTTGGACATAACGGTTTATAAAGTGCAAACTTCGAACATACATGTATTCACGCTAATTGTGGATCTTAAAATTTTAGAATACTTCTAAAATATTTGTTCAAACTACTGCACACAAAGGAAATTTTATCGAAATTAAGCATTAATCACGTAAATTCGTTTGATGACATGTTGATAACTTGACATTAAAATGACAAATAGTTATGTCACCGAGTCACTAGTAATGCAGAGTATATCACTACGTTCTTTAATGTTTCGTTTTTCGTTTATTGCACCTATACTCTACAGTCCAATTTAGCGAGTCCCGGTGGGCATCACAAATTAACATTTGGCAGCTTGCGAAAAATCACGTCGAAAAAACGTTTCCTTGATGCCTCTAGTATAGTAGGAAAGTTCGATAGTAGGAAAGTGTTTGAAGACGACCAGGTCGCAGACAACCTCGGGCTAAAATACTCAAGGAACTTCAATTCAAATCCACGGTGACTCCATCAACGGACTTTCCCCTTGAAGGCTTGAACACAAATCAGTTATGAGGTTACGGCCGTCATTAAAAATTCTCAAAAACCGCTCCACGACTGGCTCGTCGCAATCTTTACCAAGTGATCAAAATACTCCCTGCCCATCTCTTTCGCCTACTACTGGCGATGTTAATTGTGGTATATTCTCAAATCGTTGCTTTGACGATGCTCATAAAGATAGTCGCGTGGACATACTCCAATACTATGTAACGAATGTGTTTGAAAATACGTTTATCTATCTTTTCCTGCCACTGTCCAGTAACGCATAGCTACCACTTGCCAAATGATAGAAAAAAATTAAGACAACACGCCACAAAGAGAACACAAAAATATAAGGCACTGTTTTCTTCACATTTTTATTTGAATTTCTAGGATTTTTTTTTAAATAGAGCAGCTTCATTGACCGCTATATAACATTACATTAGAAAAAGGCTACCACCTCTTTAGTTTGTTCAACAAATTGTTCATTTAGATTTGTGTTAAAAGTAACGTTGGTTTATTTTTTTAATGGAGAAAAGGAGCAAACAAGCAGGAGGAGCATCTGATGGTAAGTGTTTACCGCAGCTCATGAACACCTGCAACACCCGAGGGCTTACAAGTGCGATGCCGGCCTTTTAGGAATAACTATGTTCTCTTCTTGACGGTTCCCAGGTCGTAACGGTTCGGAAAGACCGCCGGCGGCAGCTGGTTCCACAGAGCGTTTATGCGAGGCAAGAAATGCCATCTTCTGCTAAATTCCTCAGCTTAGAGTCAAATATAAATAAATATCACTTTACTCTTGCACTCTTTACTTTACATTGTCATCGGAAATAGTTAATGTTTGCAGTAAACGTTACTGTTTTGCTGTCGTGACCACGTTTCAATTTTATATATTTCCGGTGTAAACTGTGGTGGTATGATTTTAATTCTTGTGGCATATGCAATAGATATTTGTGCTTTATCCGCTAGTTATTTTGAAATTTACTAAGCTATAAACTTAGTATGTTAATAGTGATATCCTAAATATAAATGATTATTTTTGATTTATAAGGTGAACTAAAATTTGAATATCCAGGGCTAAAAATCAATCTCAAAACAATTTCTCAAAATGTACTTGTCCATATCTGGTTTTATTTTTTTATGAAAAGAGAATACATACATCTGCCAAATTGTTACGGAGTACTAACATTTAAATTTTTTTAAAACATTAAAAATAAACATCGTATTTTTTACGACTTCTCTCCGACTTGCACAACGGAAATTGAAACGAGAATATTTAGTAGACTACTAGCGACCCGCTCCAGCTTCGCACGGGTGCCATGGTGCCATTATACATATAAACCTTCCTCTTGAATCACTGTATCTAGTAAAAAAATATTACAAAATTACCATTATCGACATTAATATTTATACGATACTAACGTCTCTCAATTGTATTGTCTTCCCGGAACCCCTCCACTAACACTTAAACTTTATGTTATGGTATTAAAGTCCAAATTGACTTTTAAATATTATTACGAATCTTTTGTATGGGAATATAGAAAAGAGTTGTTTTTAGATTTTTTCAGGCAATTTTTTAAATTATTTTCTCCGTAAGAACCATCTTCCTATTTCAAGGAATATTATGAAATAAGAATTAGCGAAATAAGTTCAGCTTTTCTCCAGATTTGCGCTTAGCAACACATTCAGCGATTCATTTTTACATTTAGATTAAGTATATATAAATATGTTGTGTTTTGTAAGAATTGCTTAATCTTTGCTATTAGAGCAACTATTTGATTGTTAGCCACCTTCTTGTAAAACTATGTTTCTAAACTAATTCATTGACGACCCGAATGGCGTAGTAGGTAGTGTACCTGCCTCCTCGGTTCGATCCCCACTACTGGAAAAATATTGTGTGATGAACATAGTTTTCTAGTGTCTGGGAGTATATACATGTATTTATTTACAAAAGAAAAGTATGTTTAAGTATGTTTATCAGTTTTCCAGTACCCGTAGTACAAGCGTTGCTTAGTTTGGGACTAGAAAATGTTGCGTAAAAATGTGTCCTAAAACATTTATTTATTTATTTACTTCTGAAAACCAAGACTTCTCTACCTGTGTCTAAATGATATCGTTTTTGTGGATTAAGCAATTTAAATAATTAAACATTAATGTTAGTCAAGAATTTCAAAGGTATTTATGCTGCGATACATTTTTAATTCAGTTTTATCTGCAAACAATTTACAGACGGGGAGAAAATGTATTGTCAGTTTACAACATGAAGCCACTGTGGTTAGTCGCAACATGGTGAGAATGAACATTTTCTTGTTTTCAATGCTATTAGTTTTCTACATCAATCTTTACGAATAGCACTTTATACATATAGACGCTAGTTATATTTAAAAATAGTCATAAGTAAATACTTATCACTTATTATATAGTGTATAATCTTATAGGTGAACAATTGAAAATAATTCAAGTACCCAAGCTTTTTGGAAAAGTTCATATATTCTTGGATAAGATAATCATTTATGCGATGTTAGCATGCTTTTACAATGGTCCTTTAATTATTTTCATCATTGGGTATTAAATTTTTGGTGCGATAAATTATTATATTTCAAACGTCTCATAACTCCGGACGAAACTTTTCATAGACTGCGAATGGTACTTCTGAGTAAAAATACGTGTAAGGCAACCGCTTAAGCTGGAATAACAAATTTTGGCAACTATTTGTGTAACCCAAAGATAGTTGTTTCGCATCTGGGTGTTTGTCACCTTAAATTTATGTTTGTAAAACGTCGTTACAACAAAGGATAATGATATCCTAAAGTAAGCGGCAATGGTTTTTTTTTTAAAAACAAAGAAATAAAAATGTGCAACGATAATTTTAAAGGTTTATTGGCAAAGAATATGCGATTTTCGTTGTAAGGGCATAATTCGCGCTAGCTGGCACGATAGAGATAGCAACGCTAGCTTTGCTGGTCGACGAAGAGGACTTAGATACGATGGACCCACCGCCGGGGGTCCCGCCGGATAACACTACACCCACAATCAGTAGTGTAACAACAATCACACCAGTTCACCCTCGCCTCCGAGCACGGCGAGACCCACACAACGCGTACACAAGGTACACCCGCGTTCCGGGGCGGTTTTCACCGCTCCACTCCGCCACCGATTAGCTAAATGCACAGTCGACGGCCGTCGGGGTCTCGGTCCGAACCGCGACCTCGACGGCCCTTAGATGACACACCATAATAAAACGCACGCATGAGCACATGCGCGACCCTACCCATAGCGGAGGGTCCAAACCCGTGGGTTCTGGCTAGCCCACCGGTTCTGCGTCCGATGAAGCTTTAATAGTCTCGGGACTGAAAGCAAAAAACATCAGTTAATACAAGATACAAGATAGCTTTGATGTAAATTCCTTTACGAAATCGATGAGGCATGAACCAAACGCTAGCCCAAAGTTAGTAATAAATAAATATTTCTATTTTTCTAATAATTATTGACTAGTTCTAAACTATTCAAAAATTGTGCTATGGATACTAAATAAGTGATGTCAGTATTTAAGCATACTTTAATTTTGTAAATAAATACATATATATTATAGGTACGTAAACAGCCAGGTACATAAGTGATGTCAGTATTTAAGCATACTTTTCTTTTGTAAATAAATACATACATATATAATATAGGTACGTAAACAGCCAGGTACAAGAAAAATACCACCACCCAAAAACCCACACCCTCTGACGTAAGAGACAGGTTCACATTTACAAATAGACCTGGCCACCATGTAGGTCTCCTAAGAATATTGGAGCCGGTTAGGATACTGTAGTGTTAGGTAGGTTGCCTATTTTCTGCGGCGGATAAGAAAAATGTCATGAGAATTGCTTTATAACGGTGGTAGGGCCACGCAGCAGCCTCGGTTGTCGCACGAATGGGCAGCCTGGTCCGGGTAAGTACCACGACCTCGCAGAAGACCGGCGTCAAGTGGAAGTATAATACTTTCGCGTTTCGTCTGCTTCGTGAGGTGGCCGGAGCCCAATTTCCAAAAAGGTTGTCAACGTATCTGCAAACCCTCGGGTGTAGCCGTTGTCCATGGACGGCGGTATTCACTTAACATCAGGTGAACCGTCTGCTCGTTTGGCAATTTATCACATTAAAAAAAAAACAGAGAACAGTACAGGCGTCGGTGGTTTCAATGATGCGGTCATGAGCCGAAGCCACAAGCACATCACGCAGTCTGTGGTTTCTGATCACTTCAAACCGCCTCAGCTTTTACTTTAGATTCAATAAACCGCATACCTTGACTTCTTCTAGTGAAGACGATTTTAAGGAATCAACACCAAATGAAAACTCGTTTGTTTCGTATTAGTACTCATTCATTTTTTCGGTGGTAGGGCCATGCAACAGTGTTTGCCGTTGCACGAATGGGCGGGTTCGTCCGGG